CGATGGTGCGGGAGGTGTCGTAAACGGATGCTCGGATCGTCGTGAATCGATGAAAAACCCACTGAAATCGGGTTATTACCGACGATACTTCTGACTAAAATTAACGACGAACGACGACGATTCATGACGAAAAGTTTGAAAGGTTTTGTTCCTCGGTTGACAACGAACACGATGGTGATTTAGGCTCATCGATCGGAGGTCGGACGACGAGTAGATCGGAATTGAAAGTTGGGTCAACGAAAGAGAAAAACTGAGAAAAATATACAGCCTGAGCACGGGGAAGTGATTTATAATTCAACATATAAAAAAATGGTTAAATCATGGGTTTAGCCACTGAATTTCCTGTACTTCTTAAAACGGTCTGCCAACTTTAAAATTTTATAATTTAATCCCCACTTTCTTCCAAAAACACAATTTAAATTCACCACTTTATAATTTCTTAAATTTAGCCCTTAAATTGGAGTGTTACGGAATGATTTGGTGAAGAATGTGACACAATATCGAAAAGCATGTTGTTAAGTGATTCCACTGCAGAAGATCAGAGTTTCTGAACTTCGGGTGCCGAAGAGAGCCTCTTGACGATACCCCTACCTATCTTCACGGGCACACCAGTCAATGGACCAGCCTCAGCTTCAAGCTTCTTAACAGCTTCATCAACAATCTCAGAAAGGTTACGGTATTTTTCAGTCTTATTAAGAAGTTTTTGACCTAGAGAGACACAATAACAAAGAATGTCCACCCTCGTATCTTTTCCGGCCATCTTTTTTTTTCTCCAGCACCTAAATGAATAATTGAACTCATTCATCCGACTGTATATCGTCATTGACCTAAAGAAAGTATATATACACTAGGAGCAGGTAAGATAGAGAGGACATAGAGGAGTATTTACCCGAGCAAATCATTTACTTTCCCACATGTTACGCAACAAAAGCACCCATCAAGAACAGCATGTCGTTTATCTTTTCCAATGCCGGACTTTTCATGTTTTAAAGCACACTCGAGATGACACGACATGCCACATGAATTTCCCGGGAAAGGAGGCTCCGAGCTTCAAATTAACCATAGACTAGGATCCTTGTTGTCATCAAACCTATAACAGATGCAGCAGGAACACCTCTTGCAAAATATATCGTTTTGTCTCAAGGTAGATTTGCAAGCCGAGTTTTTTCAATAAACAGCATTGATTGTATCCTTGCCACTATTATCGATTCCGGGATCATTCACAGGAACGGGCAGTTGAGAAGGATAATCAGCTTTCCTCTGCCTTTTGGCTGTTCTCTGGCCACCTGTTGGGTTACTTGGGTACGAACGCAGTTCAGGGTCTGTTACACCTTCGAGATCACCTGAATTCTTTTCAGCTACAATTTTCAAAAGGTTTTTGATAATTTTCAGCTTAGTCAAACCAGTATATTTCCTTTCCTTCCCCATCTCCGCACATAGGACCTGCAAAATCTCCTGACGGCTCCATGATTGTAGCATTTCAGAAGCTCTACTTGTCCTCTTCGATAATTCATATACGAGTTCTCTCTTTTCATCCAAAAAGATTACCAAATTACAAACAAATAGAAAGAAGAGAATAAAACTCCAGAATTTGCCCGTTACGGAATCACTGTTACCGACCAATTACGAAAGTCATCCAAGAACATCTAATGAACTTTATTAATCAAAGTAAAACAGGAAAATTCATAATTGTACATAAGAAAAGAACACATCATTGTCAGTTCCAGTAAGGGATTGAACACAGTTCCATTTGACTTTTAAAACCTCTGGTCATTCATATGTATACGGGCAAGGGTTGGACAAGGGTATGGCGACAATAACTCTCCAAGGATCGTCCAAATACATGGGAAAAAATCGAACATAACCGCGTCGGATACATAGCCATATGTGATACACACCAAGTCCGATTCATTGGCATGATAATGGATGCACAGAGAAGGCAATGCTAGCATCATCCATGATGAAAGCAAACAACAACCGGATTCATACACCAGTTCAACGCAACGAATTTGTTCAAAAATTATTTATCGGAACGCCGGATAAGGTTGAAAGGCAAGAAGATCCCAGAAATCTACCAAGAACAAACGGCTCAGCTGAAAACTATGTTTAAAGTGAAACCCAAAACTCCAGCATGCAAAAGAAATACCCTTTAAGACCTTCAACAAACTATTAAATCAGAAGCAAAACAAAACATTGAATCCCATATTACATATCACTCTGGAAAATCAAAATCCAAACAAGGAAAAATAATACCTTCAAAAGAGGAATCCATGGCAATGGAGCACTCAAACCCATCTATGTCACTCAAAAAAATGCAAATAAAAAAAAGAAAGGAAGTACCTTCAAGAGAGGAATCCATTGCAAATAGGAGAGCACTCAACACAAAGCCCACATTACCACTTTTGAAGCCTGAAAAAAAAAGGCAGAAACTTTCAATGGGAAATAAATAAATAAAAGGTATAATTAGAACCAAAAGCAGTAGTAAAAATCATAGAGAATCAGTGAATCTCTACGAAGAAAAGAGGCTTGAAATTCTGCAGCCACAGCAGAGGAATCCATGACTGGAAAACTTTGGGGTTGGTTCAGTGTTTAAAGGCCTCTCTTTTATCTATTCGTTCAACCTTCTTTTGTACTTATTAATAATATTTGCACAAAAATTAAGGAATAAAAACTGGAAACAGATGTTATATTTTATGACATATTGTTATACTACTAAAAAATCAATATTTATTAATTAAATAATATTCATTAAAACTAAAATAATATTAATCTCCAAACATTAACATATTTATTTTGCATAAAAAAATAATCTACAAAAAATAAAATATAAATTAATAAATAATTGATCAATGAAATAATCTACATGATTTTTTTTTATTTGTTTAAATTTTCGATATAGTTTATGTTCATCCATCCACATAAATCATATTTCAAAAAAAAATCACTAAAAGAAAAAAAAATATATATATATATATTTATTTTGCATATTAATCTAGTAATTTTAATATTTTAAAGACGTTTATTTTAGTGGAGTTTATGATTATCCATTTCAAATTACTTAGAAAATCAAAATGAAATAACAGTAATAATTAAATAATAAGTAAATAAAGCATTTCTGTTTTTTTTAATATTTTACATTACACATATATATTTTCTTTTAAATAGAACAAAAATGTCTCGAAATTTAATTATCAACTTTTAATAATTTTCCCTCCTAATAGTCTCAAATATATACAAGGTTAAGAATTCCCTCCAAATCCCTCAAAGGAGACGTTTTTCGCGCTTTCGATGGCGAACTTCGAAGCTCCGTCATTCTCTCTCGGGCACGATCTCGATCTCGACGCCGTCTCGGAGCCCTGTTTACCGGCCGAAGACCATCCGGGACCCTTCTTAGCCCCTGATCCTTCTGCGAGTTTCAACACCTTCGAAGACAATGCTGAAGAGCTCGAGTATCAACAAGATATGGATTCGGATCCGGATACTGGACCCGACCATTCCCGCGTCTCAAAGCGGTTGCGGCGGGCTGCCGATGAATCTTCGGCTACGAAGAAAGAACCAGAAAAGACTTGCCTTGGAATAATGAGGACGATGAGATTGAAGAGTTCTCTTCTTCACAGGAAACGAATGGTATTTTTTTAATGAAATTTATTTAGCAGTGTGTTGACCTATCTTTTCCTCAATGACAACCAATTGGAAGGAGCAGTACCACCATCTTTGGCTAATTCTACTTCATTGGAGATTTTAGATTTAGGGAACAACCAGGGAATCAAATAGTGGACTGAAAACGCTATTCGTTATTTAGTGATAGCGTCACCGTCTGAAATCGAGATTGATAAAATTAGCGGTGGGTGACGGATTCATGCCAATAGCGACCCGTTGTGCCTGCAATTTAATGGTAACGGTGAATAGCGCCGATAACGGGACGCTATTACCGTTTTCGACCGCTACAGTGAAACAAAAAAAAATAAAGGCGAGATCAATAAGAGAAGTAATGAAGGACAAAAACATGAAACGTTTAAGAATCCAAATTTTTAACAAGAAGAAAAAGAAGCACGGTTAAATATAAAATTAAAGATAAAAAACCGGTGAATAAAAAAGGAAGAAATTGAAGAAAAAGAATGCTTAACTTTGGTCCTTGCTATTTCTGGGTGATCAAAGCAATCAACAACTTATCAGTTATCCCAATAATGGGGAGTTTTCATTCGATGAAATGGCTAACATATATGAAAAGGGGCTAGATTCGACGATGAACGATGGAGTTCGGAGCAGAAGAATAAATAACCCGAAAGATTTGCGACTGATTTAGAAATTTGAGATGTTTGTCGTTGATACTAAGGCTGAATTTGTAATTAGGAGACCAAAGAGAATATGTTTCTGCATTTTAAATTTAGTACGGTGGTCGAAAACGTCCAACATGGTGCTTGTTGTGACGGTCTGATACTCGACGGTGAAAATGGGTTTATGAGATAATGAAGAGAGATTTTGGGAGAAAGAGAATAAAAACGAAAAGAAAATATAAGAAGATGATATAATAATTATTGGGGTAATATAGATTTGCTGCCTTTTAATTTTCCAAATATCTAATTTAGTCCCTAATTTTCATGTTTAGTTGTTTAGTTATATTTAATTTAGTCATTTTGTGTTCTTTAAATTTATTTAAATTTCACACTTTTATTTTAGTTATATTTAATTGTGGCTTAAATAAAGTTGTGTCAAATTATTATGTTTTAGGATAAGTTGTGTGAAATTTAAAAAAAAATTCACGACTGCGACACCCGCGGTGACGCAATAGTATCCGTTATGTCCGCAACAGCGATAAACACAATACGACCGAAAACGCGACCGCGAACGCTATTTAAATCCCTGGGAACAAGTTAACTGATAGGTTTCCCCATTGGTTAGCTTCACTCCCAAGTCTGATAATTCTTATCTTGAGAAGTAATAGATTTCATGGATCACTGCCTCATTCTGCGGCTTCGACAAACTTCTCCGCGTTACGAATGATTTATCTCTCCGGAAATGAGCTCACCGGCACCTTGCCATCGGAACTCTTGGGAAATCTGAGAGCAATGATAGATAAACCTAAACACGGACTTTCAAACATCTTACAAGACGGTGATGAAGTTTATGCTTCTGATATTCAAGATTACCACACTTCTGTGAAAGTAACAATTAAAAGATTGGATCTTGAATTGACCAAGATCATAGACATTTTCGTATCCATGGACTTATCCAACAACCAGTTCTTTGGACAAATTCCTGAGGAAGTGGGACAACTTATATCCCTGCAAATGCTCAACTTATCTCACAACAACTTCACCGGTCCTATCCCGGCGTCGTTCGGGAATTTGGCGGCACTTGAATCGTTAGATCTTTCATCAAACAAGCTCGGTGGTAGGATACCATCTCAAATGACGAAGCTGACGTTTCTTTCAGTGTTGAATCTTTCAAAAAACAATTTTGTTGGACCAATTCCTCACGGGAATCAATTTGGTACCTTTGAAAATGATTCCTACATCGGTAACTTGGGATTGTGTGGCTTACCATTGTCCAAGCAATGCAACAACCATGGGGAGGCCGAACCACCTGCACAGTCGGTGGTGGAAGAGGAGGATTCTCAAGTACCCTTTTGGCAGGTGGAAATGATGGGATATGGAAGTGGAGTGGTGCTAGGGATGAGCCTTGGTTACATTGTGTTCACGACCGGAAAACCATGGTGGTTTGTTCAAATGGTCAAGAGAGATTTGCAATACAATTTTACAAACTGGATCACAAGAAACAAATCAAGAAGAACCTAGCTATGGGTCCAACATCTTGTTTAGTTGAGTTTCTAACAAGTATTTCAAAAGTTTCATCTTCGTAATCTAATAGTTAAGTTATAGTACTTTTTATGTTTTCTTAATTTCTCATAGAGGCATTGGAACTTCATTTGGAATTCAATGGGAAGATTCAACTTGTTCAGTTCCCTTGGAAGCGGTTTGAATAAATCATTCTGGTGCTCTTAATTTAGCAGATGGCTTGATGTACTTGTTCAGATTTGAGTTATGATACGAGTGCCTTTATCGTCATTATGTCTAAGTTTTGTATTTTTTTTTAGTCTCTTGAAGGGTTGCCCACATATTCATAATTTGTATTTGTTATATCCGATCTGGATTAGTTGATCAATATGTTAGATACTGGTGATTCAATATTTCGTGTATAAGAACAAAGAAATTTATACTAAAAAATGAAGCACCTTTCCATAAGTGCATTATGCAGTTTCTCTAGCTGATAAAAGTTGAGTGGTTCGATAGTTCTTTGTGGTAATCTCATATCATACAAAGAAATTTGCACTAAAAAAATGAAGCACCTTTCCATAGGTGCTTTGCCTGCATCATATAGAACAAGTCAACAGCAAATGCATCAGCTTTTCTGTGTTTTAACCCTCAAAAGAAATGCACTAGGAAACTTGTTGATCTAGATTGTGTTTCATACAGTCATGTGCACTGCATGCAAGTTGGTCCAAACAAATTGAGATATTCGACCAAGAGGAAGTCCAACTCAACTACAGATGGACTTTCGCTGTACCAATTGGTTGACTTTCTTTTTATATTTTGGTTCCATGAATTGGTCGACTTCTTTAAAGTATTTAGGAAATTTAAATCTGTACTCTCACCATAAACCTTCCCTTGCTTCTGAACTTTGTTGTTGTTTTTTCTTGAGAAAAAATGTGAAGCATTTGTCTTGTATTGGTGTTAATGTTGCATCTTCCATGGAGTTTGATCTCTTCCACTGTTCCTCCTCCATCCTCTCATCTATGTCTCCCACACCAGAGAGCTGCTTTGCTCCAATTCAAAAGCTCCATTTTTCTAACTGAATACTGCTCCAGTGGGGATGATTACAATAATGATTACGCCAAGACAGAGTCATGGAACAAAAGCATTGATTGTTGTTCATGGGAGGGAGTCAAATGCGACGAGCTGACTGGACATGTAATCGGCATCGATCTTAGTCATAGTTGCCTTAACGGTTCTCTTCATGCAAACAGCAGCCTCTTTCTCCTTCACAACCTTCAATGGCTCCCCTCTTGAGAACACCAGCAGCCTGTTTCACATTCATGGACTCCGACGACTCAACTTCGGTTACAACTATTTCGATGGCGCTATCCCGTCAGAGTTATTTACTCAATTGGTGAGTTTAACCCATCTTAATCTCTCATCTTCTGGCTTCTCCGGCCAAATCCCAAATCAAATCAGCCTCTTGTCAAGTTTGGTTTCACTTGATCTTTCCCTTGATTATGGTTATTTCGAATCATTTGAAATTGATGGCCAAGTTTTTGACTTGCTTGCAACAAACTTAAAACCAAATTAAGATACCTTGTGCTTGACAGTGTAGATCTGTCTGGTGTTGCACTTACTTCCTTTCTGAACTTAACTTCATCACTAGAACATTTGAGTCTCAGTTGGTGTCTATTACATGGGGAGTTTCCGAGTCGAATTTTTCAGCTTCCAAACCTCAAACATATCGATATAACTGGGAATGAAAATATCAGAGGATATCTCCCCAGGACAAACTGGAGTAGTGGCCTTGAGTGGTTGCACCTTTCCTATTGTGGTGGTTTTAGGGGATCAATTCCAGCTTCATTCGGAAATCTCACTCGAATTGTTTCCATAAATTTATCTGGAAATCGGCTTCAAGGACAGATTCCAGATGTTTTTGGGAACCTTACCAAATTAACTTCTTTGAGATTTTCTAGCTGCAATTTGAGTGGTTCACTTCCAATAACTATGTTCACTCTCCCATCTCTGCTAGATTTGGACCTCAGTTATAACAAACTAGCCGGACCGATGGACCTAATTAGGATGCCGAGTTCTATCCAACAGCTTGATTTAACATCTAACGACTTTCATGGTCCGCTACCCGATTCTATTTTTGATCTTGTGAACCTTATTGAACTTCGTTTGTCATCAAACAACTTGAGTGGTATCATCGAGCCAGTTATGCTTTCGAAACTCACGAGTCTTGAAGTTCTCGATCTTTCGAATAATAGATTAGTATCATTATGTGCAAGATGCAATGATGCAAACTATTCTTTCCCTCGGCTTGCAACCGTGTCGTTCTCTTCTTGTAGTGTAAGTCGGTTCCCGAGTTTCTTTCGAGCATCACAGTTGCTGGATTTAGATATTTCCAGTAACATGATTTCTGGTGGAATTTCTAAATGGGAGGCTGAAGGCTGGGAAGAACTGAAAGGGTTGAACCTTTCTGACCACAATGGAGCAAGTTCCTGGGAAGAGATTGGATGCACTTTACCTTCGTTCGAACTTTCTTCGAGGGTCAATTCTGAATCTTCAAATCCGAGATCCAATGCAGTTGCAAGTGTTCTTAATTTCAAAGAATAATTTGACAGGAAATATTCCTCCTTCCATTTGCAGTTGGAGTTCACTTATACTACTGGACATGTCTAGAAACAGCTTGAGTGGAACTATTCCTGAATGTATTGGAAATTTCAGCTCTAATCTCCAGTTCATAGATTTGCAGATGAACAACTTGAACGGCGAGATCCCCGACTCTTTTCGGAATAACGAGTTGAGCCATCTTTTTCTCAATGACAATCGATTCGAAGGATGAATACCACCATCTTTGGCTAATTGTACTAAACTGACAATTTTACATGTAGGGAACAACAAGTTAACCGATAGGTTTCCCCCTTGGTTAGCTTCACTTCCAAGTCTGCAAATTCTTATCTTGAAACATAATAGATTTCATGGATCAATGCCTCATTCCATAGCTTCATACAACTTCTCTGCATTGCGAATGATTGATCGCTCGGGAAACGAGTTCACCGGCACCTTGCCCTCGAAACTCTTCCGGAATCTGAGAGCAATGAGAGAGAAATCAAAAGGGAGTCATTCAAATTTAGCATTTCAACGAGATGATGGTGGTAAATATATTGCCCAATTTTACCGAATTGCTGTGAATGTAACAACTAAAAGATTGGAGCTTGAATTGATGAAGACTGCAGCCATATTTGTATCAATGGACTTGTCCAACAACCAGTTCTTTGGACAAATTTCTGAGGAAGTGGGACAACTTATATCCCTGCAAATGCTCAACTTATCTCACAACAACTTCACCGGTCCTATCCCGGCGTCGTTCGGGAATTTGACGGCACTTGAATCGTTAGATCTTTCATCAAACAAGCTCGGTGGTAGGATACCATCTCAAATGACGAAGCTGACATTTCTTTCAGTGTTGAATTTTTCAAAAAACAATTTTGTTGGACCAATTCCTCACGGGAATCAATTTGGTACCTTTGAAAATGATTCCTACATCGGTAACTTGGGATTGTGTGGCTTACCATTGTCCAAGCAATGCAACAACCATGGGGAGGCCGAACCACCTGCACCGTCGGTGGCGGAAGAGGAGGATTCTCAAGTACCCTTTTTGGCAGGTGGTAATGATGGGATATGGAAGTGGAGTGGTGCTAGGGATGAGCCTCGGTTACATTGTATTCACAACCGGAAGACCATGGTGGTTTGTTCGAACGGTCGAGAGAGATTTGCAATACAAATTTACAAACTGGATCAGAAGAAAGGGACCAAAAAGAAACTAGTTTCAACACCAAATGTAATTAAGAAAAGTGTAAAACTATAGAAATGACCACTCAATTATATCCCCTTTTAATTTTGACCACCATTTTTGAATTCTTATCAATCAGACCATCTAACAATTTAAATATATTCAATCAAGTCACTTGTCGTTAACAGTTAACAGGAGCGCTGAATTGACAGTTAATAAAATTGATATAAATTTTATTTGGTCACTCTTACTTATATATTCTATCAATTTAATACTAATTTTAATAAATTAAAATAAAATTAATCTTCCAATAGGATGCCGCCATGTGTCACCATTAAATTTGATGATTTAATTTAATATATTTATTTTGTACCAACTATAGTCACCCTGTAGTGGGAAAAAAATCAAAGCAAAAAGTAAAGGAACAAGGGAATCAAACCAGTGTCACTTGGATAAGAGGAATAAAGACGTACTACTCTGTCAAATTGGTTGTTTGGTTCAAAACAGACTAAATAAAATATTTATCTTAGATCTAAATCCAAGAAAATTAAACTCGAACCTAAGCTTACATTGAAAAATAAATTTTATTTTTATCTTAAATTCATATATTAAATTTAATTCACATCTTAACATCAACATATATATATTATCGTAAATTTATATATTTAAAATATATTTTTAATTTTTAATGCTAAGATAAAAAATATTTTAATATATTTTAAATATATAAAACTAAAAATATATTTTTCAATATATTTTAAATATATAAAACTAAAAATATATTTTTACAATTTTAATGTTAATGTTAAGATAAAATATATTTAATATATTTTAAATATATAAAAATGTGAATTAAATTTAATATATAAATAAATTTTGAGAAAATAACCTCAGTGACCAAAAATCCCATATAATATACGATTTTAACCAATTTTTTCCGGATTTGCCAAAATGACCAACAAAATCGCAATGCGATCGCTAATTCGCAACGCGATCTCCATTATCGCAAATTCGCGTTGCATTTTCGCAATGCGATAGTTGAAAATCGCGTTGCGATGGTCTACAGTATCGTTGCGATTTTCCTAATTCGCAATGCGAATAAGTAAATCGCAACGCGAATTGGGAAAATCGCAATGCGATACTTACTATCGCAATGCGATAATACAAAATCGCAACGAGATACTTACTTTCGCAACGCGATACTGACTTTCGCAACGCGATTTACATAGCGCCATTCGTATTAACGCGTATTTTTTTTTTCAAATTCCAAACACGTATTTTTTCTTAATAAATCGGAAAATGAACCGTCCACAGTAATCGCAACTCATAACCTCAAACCCAAAAACACAACACTCAGTCCCATCTCCATCTCTCACTCAGCGTTTTTTTGATGGCACGAATGATGAGCAGCCTCCACTTCCTCCACTTCGAGAGCCATCACCTCACCCAGAGCCATCACCTGATCGACCCGACTATACACCTCTACAACGAGAGCCATCACCTATCCCGTCACATCATCGAGTCTCTTCTCCACCATCACCTCATGATAGGCGACCGACAAAGATGCCACGACTTCTATCTCCCTGTTCTCCACCTCCACGGGATGAGTCAAGGGAGTTACGTGATGAGGTCAATGCCTTGCGTGAGGAGATCGGTACTCTACGCGATAACGATGGTGCATGGCGTGTGGAGGTGTCTACTTTACGTGGTGAGGTTGCCGCTCTACGTGAGATGGTAGTATCGTTGCAGAATGAGGTTCATACTCTACGCAACGAGGTAAGTTTAAGATTTTCCATATTTAACTTGATGATAAATTTACTCGTAATTTCACTTAAATTAACCATTTACTTTAACACTGTGAAGTTAGTATTTGTCTTTGTTTTGTCTTTTGGTTGAAAGTTTGAAATATATTTATCTTTGTTTTCACTGTTTAAATATCATGTCTGTTTATTTACTGATATTTGTATTTTTATTTAGCGGACCGATAAGGTGGATGCTTTACGTCGGGTTTTTCTTGTACGACAGAGTTCACGTATCAGACGGCGTGCACGTGCTATTAAGTCTCCGTATACCCCAATAGTGCGAAGACACCGCAAGAAGAAGCCCGACTCGCCTATCATCCCTCAAGAGTCCACTCCTATCGTTGAAGAGGCCCCTATCATTCCTCGAGAGTCCCCTCCCACCGTTCAAGAGGCCACTGTCATCGTTGAAGAGGTCCCTCCCACCATTCAAGAGCCCGATTCACATGGCGTCATATATAGGATTATTGAGAAACCCTCTGACGTGCCGGACATGATGGATTCAAGTTGGCTCTCGTATGAGTTACCGGCCAGTACCATACCGGTATCTGAAGAGGAGAGGAAACAACTACCGGACACAATTATGGATAACACCCTTTGGGCTAAGACCGCAGTTGATTTTTATCTACATGAGCGAAGCCAGGGGTGTTTCACTGACATATGCAAGCTCAATGATGATATCTATTTGTTGCTTGATCGGTCTTGGTGGGGCGTATTATTAGGGGTCGAAGACAATGGCTATTTCGATGGAGGGGTAAGTCTTATATTTTTCTTATATTTTCATTTGATTAATTTGTTTAAAAATTAATGTAATTAACTAATATATGTATTTTTTTGTAAAACAACATATCGATGCGTGGGTGTCACGTCTACTAATAATTAGGAAACTTAAGGAAAATAAAAGAAATACACGGTATACAATAATGCCGACGGCTTTTAACGCAGTTCACTTGAAGAATCAACGAGATGAATCATTTGCGTTGGGCAATGGACAAGCTAAACTTTATCCTGCATGGTGGGAGGTCGATAAGGTTAGTGTTTATTTTAGATTGAGTTTAAAGGTATTCATAAATAAGTGCGCAAATGAATGAATTATTACTTATGATTGCAGGTGTTTATCCCTGTTTTGGAACGTAACCATTGGCTTCTCGTCGAGCTTCAGATCCCATCCCTTAAGGCAATAGTATATGACAGCATGATAAATTACATATCATTGGTTGATTTAAGAGATATTATTAAGGGATGGAGCTCTTATTTGGCTAAATACTTGGATGCGATAAATTATTGGACTCGTTCTGGAAACAAGAAGCCAAAGAAGCTCAATATTACAGTTAGCAGAGACGAGACCGCACCACAACAAACGAAAGGACCCATAGGGGATTGTGGTCCTCTCGTATGCTTGGCGTTGGACCGTTTGATCACAGGAAGTATAAAGTATCTACCTCCCACCGATATAGATAGAGCTGCAGTAGGCTTGTGGTTTCGACATTATATGGCTAGATCGATATATACGAGACGCTGCCTACCTGCATCCGCGTTATAAAAATGTCCATAAACAATTGGTATGTTTATAGGCTTGTGGTTTGAAAATGTTTGGTTAAGTACCTAGAATTCAATAATTTGCTGTTTGTAGGTTTTAGATGTGTAGAAAGTGTTGTTTGAGCAAATGTTTGGTTTATGCAGGTTAATCTCAGAAGTGAGCTGCGTGAAAATGATGTATGGCTGCAAAAGTTGATTCAATAGTATAAGTGTTATTTTCTCTAATAATTATTGCTTATTTTTTTATTGTTTAATTGATTTGTAAAAGGTGATTTGTAAAAGTTGATTTGTTTAATTGATGTTAACATAATTCTTATTTGTGCTTGTTTAATTGATTGAAATGTAATGGTTGATTTTGTTGATTTCAATCTGCATTATGTTTGAAGACAAAAAGTACTATCGCAATGCGAAATGAAAATCGCAACGAGAGAATCGCAACGCGAAAATGAAAATCGCAACGAGAAATTAAATTCGCGTTGCGATTTTCATTTCGCATTGCGATTCCCTCGTTGCGATTTTCATTTCGCATTGCGAAATTAGCGTTGCGATTTTCATTTCGCATTGCGATTCCCTCGTTGCGATTTTCATTTCGCATTGCGATAGTAATTTCCGCGTTGCGATGGACATTAAGATGATTGCCTATTAAGTGAAAACAAGGAACATATCATAGCAATTTTCAAACTCAAGTTACTAATACATGCCTAACTGAAAATGTTAAAAGTTCACACATAAAATCTACATAATACAACGTTTGCATTTAAAAATCACCTAAGTTAACAGTCCCAAAAGGTGAAGCCAGTTGTGATTGGGATTTTAAAGATGATTGTGATTTTGATTGCCTTTTTCTTGACACCATATGAGCTTTGGATTTTGATGATGATCCATATTTTGGTAGAGGAAAAGATGATTGTGATGGCACTGGTGATCTACATGTCAACCTTGTATGACCACTTTCCTTGCACCGACTACATGTCGATCTCTTCTTCTCTTCACCCTTAGACGGTATACGATCGTGACTTTTTGGTCGGCCAGGTAGCCTTCTGTCCATGGCTGGTGGCAAAACTGTTTGTAAGTCATCTGGTATGTCCCACTCAGAAGGATGTGAAATAGGGTAGACAATCTCGGCATAAGTCTGTCGATATACTTCTGTAGTGTAGCAATCCATAGCGTATGTGCTTGAATCATCTTGGTTTAGATGAAGAGCAACTTTTATAACATGGCCACATGGATAACCAGATGTTTGCCATTTCATACAACTACACGTCCTTGTATTTAGATCGACAAGCCTATTTAAGTTATTATCCAGTACTTCAAACAAAGTGTTTGAACATGGTTCAACTCTCCATGACGTTGACTTCAAAATACGCGTTAATACGAATGGCGCTATGTAAATCGTGTTGCGAAAGTCAGTATCGCGTTGCGAAAGTAAGTATCTCGTTGCGATTTTGTATTATCGCATTGCGATAGTAAGTATCGCATTGCGATTTTCCCAATTCGCGTTGCGATTTACTTATTCGCATTGCGATTTTCCCAATTCGCGTTGCGATTTACTTATTCGCATTGCGAATTGGGAAAATCGCAACGATACTGTAGACCATCGCAACGCGATTTTCAACTATCGCATTGCGAAAATGCAACGCAAATTTGCGATAATGGAGATCGCGTTGCGAATTAGCGATCGCATTGCGATTTTGTTGGTCATTTTGGCAAATCCGGAAAAAGTTGGTTAAAATCGTATATTATATGGGATTTTTGGTCACTGAGGTTATTTTCTCATAAATTTTATATAAATAAAAATATATTTTAAATATATGAATTTAAGGTGTTATATATATTAATTTTAAGTGTGAAATAAAGTTAATATATAAATTTAAAAATTTATATATTTTTTAAATATATTCTCCCAAAAAATTTTTCCTTCAAAAACCAATCTTTTATTTTAAAAAATTCTCCCACCACTCATGTAATATGATTTATTTTAAATTGATGCTTAAATTTTAAAATTTTAAATTTTCAATCTCAAGTAAATTTATCTTTTATATATTTTAAAATTTTAAGGTAAATTACATTTAATTTATTAATTAATTGTTACATAAAAAATTATTTAATAAAATTAATTTAATGATTATAATTAAGATTTCTAATATAAAAATATAATTAATATAGAAAGTAAATTTATTAATTTAATTATCATAACTAACAATTTGTTTTAATTTTTTAAAAAGTAATCATATTAATTATCATAGTTTATTATAAATTCAAAATCTTAAGACTTAATCAAAATCTCATAATGTCATTAATTGTAACTTATAAGTCAGATAAATATTAAATCAGTTCAATAACAGATCGGATCATTTATAGGTTGAGTCAACTGCTTATCAAGTTTATAGCAAGTTAAGTTGATAACATGTTGGGTAATATAAGATATTTACTGGGTTAATCTCGGTTTCGGATTCATATTAGGTTGGATGCAGGCCGAGTTCGATTATCACATTGTCAGGTTCAATTAGGGTTTAGGTCGTAAATTTCCAAATCCAAATCGGGTTCAGGTCAACATCAGTTCAGACTCGAATCAATTTTGGATCATCGTCATCTCGGTTCAGAAACAATTTTGACTCAAGTCAATTCCAGTCAGTTTTTTAAGTTGGGTCAACTTTTTACATCCTTATAAAATGGGATACACTTTAACAATATATTAAGGGGTGTTTGGTTCTTAGAAAAGATCATTACCAAGGGGAATGATCTGTTATAGAATTTTATTTTCATGTTTGGTTTATGAAAAATATCATTATCATGTAATAATTATTACCAATAGAAGTATTTTTAATTTAAAATGAAGGGAATATCACTACCTCTAAATTCTTAGGTAATAAATAATTCTCACCACTTAAGAGATAAATACCCTAAAATAAAAAAAAATCATATAGATCATTCTCAATTCTTATTATTCGTGCTTTACTTAAAATTGTAAACTTAATAATAATAATAATAATATATAAAGAGTTTAATTTAATAAAATATTAATAAATTTAAGTAATTAAAATTATTTTATATTTTTAATATTTAATATATTATTTATGATTCAAGGGTCATAAATGCCTCTGTAATATAATAAATTTATCAATTTTATTCTTGTTATATTTTCACAATAATTTTATTCTCAAAATTATTTAATTATATCAATTTCTACCTTTAATCGTCTTAACTAACATAACCACCAACTTTTATTGACGTGGATGACAATTGTTTACACCTTAAATAAAATTGTTCAAGTGACAATTACGAAAATAAAATAAAATAAAATAAATATATTCTTTTAATTTTAAGTAAATTTTTATGGTCACCCAAACCAACTCCGACTCAACCCAAATGCTGGCCCCCCTCTTCGGATCACGTTCCTCCACCGGAGAATTCGATCAATGTTTCCATGGGTTCCCAGTCACAGACTAATCAAGGCATGGCACCGATCTCCAACAGTGCTGCTACTACCATGCCGACTGAGTCGAATAATTACGTGTCTCCTGCTCCGGTACAATCATCTTCCTCCAAAAGTAACCCACTTCCAATAGCTCCCACCTGCATCGGCTTATGCTAAACCCATTTCTCTTTTCCTTTTAATCTTTTTGAATTTGATTCAAAATTTTCAGCGCTTTTGTTTAGCAGGCAAGATGGAATCAGTGAAGAGTGTATTGGGGAAATGGGGAAAGAAAACGGGAACACTCCGCATAGAACTCATTGATTCAACTTAGAATCAACCCAGTAAAACACAACTTGATAGTATCTATTCCTTTATAGTAAAACAACTAAAACCCATTAAACAATCCACAAAAGATTTCTTACAGCCAAAGCCGCCATTGAAAGGTAAAAAGCAAGAAACCAAAGCTTAGCCATTCCTTCAAAGAGACCAACAATTATAAAACTGCCAGAAACATCACACATAATCCTCCATAGCCAAGAACAAATCAAAGAAAATCCCATTGAAAAAGGCAACGAATCGTAAACAATCAACTATCGGAAGGTTGTTGGCGACGAAAGAAAGCGCCGAAGATGAGGCAATCACCGATAAGGCGTTCTTCTTCATCATTGGCGCCGTCGACGTTTTGGCCGATGTAAGAAGAGAGAAAGGAATGGGAGACGGAGTGTAATTTAAGGGAAAATGGAAGTTGTCAGGCCGAGAAAGTTTGTGGGGGGCCGAAAGAGGAAGTAGTGAAATGGAAAATATTTTGGGGGTTGGGGATTTTAGGATGGAGGCAGAGGACGCGGGGGAGCCGAAAGAGATGGGGGCAAAAAAAATTGGTTACTGTATCATAAGGGCAGATGTGACCCTTACGCCATTAATTATTTTATAATTTTTTGAGGTTAAAATATTATTATTATAAAAATGTAATTATTGAGTTATTAAGGAATAGATTTTATATATTAAAAAATAATATATTTATCTTCGAGATCATAATATTATTTTTCATATTATATTTTATATAAATAAATATGATATTTATGAAAATTATTTAAAATTATAAGTTCGATATATTAATTATATTAATTATATGTTAAATTTATTTTTTCTTTAAACTTAGATAGTGTAATAATTAAAATATTTTTATGAGTTTTTAGTCAAATATTTATAATTTAATATTAAAGTTTTACTTGTTAAAATATATATATGACAAGGATAATTTGGTAAAATATGCATTCATACAATCATATATTTCTCCCATCAAACATTGCAATCTTATATTTATGTTAAGCAAACCAAACAGGGTAATACAACATTCCCAAAGTAATGTTATATTTTGGTAATCTTATTCCCAAAGGTAATCTTACATTCCGTGAACCAAACGTACAATGCTTGATTGACCTGATGTGTTCACTTTGTTTTTTTTTCCAAAGAAAAATACAAGTCTTCATAATTACTAACGTATAAAACGGATTACGTCTATAAGGTATGTGTTGTTAATAGATTAAGGAAGTTCTTAATAGAAATTATCTTGTAACAACCCAAATTATTTAATAGAAAAAAGAATTACTAATATCAATTATCAGTTGTCTCAACGGATGAGGCGTTAAGATCTTTTGATAAGATTAGAGATTTAAATACTAACATTATAAATAGAGAAAATTGAACTAAAAGTTATCCATTGTGATTAGAGAGGGTATGAGATTCGGTCTTGGCGGGTTTTAACAAGATTTTATAGGAGTCGTATTTAAAAAAAGAGTTCGTTTTAGGTTAGTTTTTTAGAAGATAAATTCAAGTCGGGTTTCAATTTATGATTAAAAATATCTTAACAATTCTGAAAAAATAATATAATTATACCTTATATATTTAAGGATAATTGCAAAAATACTTCTCAATATTTTTTCAATTATATCTTTATTTTACCAAATAAAAATAAAAATTGTGTATGTGTGTGTATTGAGTCTTACCCAAAAAACAAGTCGGATGTTGGGTCGAGTGAAGTCTCTCTAAATTTCAGTCAAGTCGGGTTTTAAATAGAGATATATTTTCTCGAGTCGAGTTGACTTTAAACATAACCTAACCTTAACCATGACCATCCCTACTCGCTACGAACCTCAACAGCACCTGAACCAGACTATTTAAAATGGGTTAATGGTAAAACTACGACTTGACTTATTAATTACTAACGTTTAAAATGGGATAAGAGTTTACTTGACTTTGTTTTGGTTAGAGGAAGAATTATAAGTCTATACTCTGAACATTCCTTTGGTTCTCAACTTTGTGAGAAAATATGAGAAACCTTGGCCTGCTATTGGTGTTAATGTTGCATCTATCATGGAGTTTGTCTTTCACTGTTCCTCCCCCATCCTCTCATCCATGTCTCCCGCATCAGAGAGATGCTCTGCTACAATTTAAAAACTCCAGTTTTATAACTGACTGCCGGCTTTGGTCTGGTTCTTACAAAAAGACAGAGACGTGGGACAAAAGCATTGATTGTTGTTCATGGGAGGGAGTCAAATGCGACGAGCTGACCGGCCATGTAATCGGCATCGTTCTTAGTCACGGTTGCCTTACCGGTTCTCTCCTTGCGAGTCCAAACAACGGCCTCTTTCACCTCGACAGACTTCGATGGCTTGACCTGAGTTCCAACCTCATCGATGGCTCTCTTAGTAGCCTGTTCCACTTGCATGGACTCAAAAGTCTCAACCTCGCTCACAACAATTTCGATGGAACAATCCCTTCGGAGTTATTTACTCAATTGGTGAGTTTAACTCATCTTAATCTCTCTTTTTCTGGCTTCACTGGCCAGATCCCAAATAAAATCAGCCTCTTGTCAAGTATGGTTTCACTTGAGCTTTCCTCTTATTCGTTCCCCCATTTTATAATCGATGGTCAAGCTTTTGACATGCTTGCAACAAACTTGACCAAATTAAGATACCTTGGGCTTGATTTTGTAGATATGTCTGATGTTGCAGTCACCTCCTTTCTGAACTTGTCTTCATCGCTAGAACATTTGAGTCTTTATGGTCATTACTTGCATGGGGAATTTCCGAGTCAAGTTTTTCACCTTCCGAACCTCAAACATATTGATTTAAGTAGGAATGAAAATCTCACAGTTCATCTCCCAAAGACAAACTGGAGCAGTGGCCTTGAGTCGTTGGACCTTACCTATTGTTGTGGTTTTAGAGGGTCAATTCCACCATCGTTTGGAAATCTCACTCAACTCAGTTCCATAGATTTATCTGGAAATTTGTTTGAAGGACAGATTCCTGATGTTTTTGGGAAACTTACCAAGTTATCTTCTTTGGCATGTTCTTCATGCAATTTGAGTGGTTCACTTCCAATGACCATGTTCACTCTCCCATCTCTGCTACATTTAGATTTCAGTCTTAACAAATTGGCAGGACCAATGGACCCAACTCAGATGCCAATTTCTATCCAATACCTTGATTTAAGTTCCAATGATTTCCATGGTCCACTACCCGCTTCTGTTTTCGATCTTGTGAACCTTATTTCACTTCGTTTGTCGTCAAACAACTTGAGTGGTGTCATCAAGTCGGATATGCTCTCGAAACTCACAAGTCTTGAAGTTCTCGATCTTTCGAATAATAGTTTACTATCATTGAGCACCAGCGGCAATGATGCAAACTATTCCTTCCCTCAGCTCAAAGAAGTGTTCTTCTCTTCTTGTAGCCTTAGGCGGTTCCCGAATTTCTTTCGAGCATCGGGGTTGGAGCTTTTAGATGTTTCCGATAACATGATATCTGGTGGAATTTCCAAAAGGGAAGCTCAAGGGTGGGAGAAATTGCAAAGCTTGAACCTTTCCTATAACTCTCTGACCACATTGGAACAGTTTCCAGGGAAGAGATTGGAATTTCTCGACCTTCGTTCCAACTTGCTTCAAGGGCCAATTCTCTCTACTTGCTTGAATCTTCAAACTCCAAATCAACAGTTGATCCGGGAGTTATTGATTTCAGAGAATAAATTGACGGGAAATATTCCTTCTTCCATTTGCAATTGGAGTTCACTTGCAATACTGGACTTGTCCAGAAACAACTTGAGTGGAACTATTCCTGAATGTTTTGGAAATCACAACAAGTCTCTTGAGTACGTGGATTTGCAGATGAACAACTTCCATGGCAAGATCCCTGATTCTATTGGGAATAATAAGTACTTAACTCATCTTTTCCTCAATGACAATTGCTTCGAAGGATTAGTCTCGCCATCTTTGGCTAATTCTAGCAGATTGGAGATTTTAAATTTAGGGAACAACAAGATCACCGATAGGTTCCCACATTGGTTAGCTTCACTTCCAAGTCTGCAGGTTCTTATCTTGAGACATAATAGATTTCATGGGCCACTGCCTCGTTCGATAGCACCATCTGACTTCTCCGCATTGCGAATGATTGATCTCTCCGGAAATGAGTTCACTGGCACCTTGCCGACCGAACTCTTTCGAAATTTGAGAGGAATGACAGTTAAACCCGAACAGAGATTTCCACTCCCAGCACAGTTCGTCTATAGGGGTATTCATTATTTCATTGAAGAATACCACATTTCTGTGAATGTAACAACGAAAAGATTGGAGCTTGAATTGACGAAGATCATAGCCATTTTCGTATCCATGGACTTGTCAAACAACAAATTCTCTGGACAGATTCCTGAGGAAGTGGGAGAACTTATTTCCCTGCAAATGCTCAACTTCTCTAGCAACAACTTCACCGGTCCTATACCATCATCGTTCGGAAATCTGGTGGCACTTGAATCATTAGATATTTCATCAAACAAACTCAATGGCAGGATTCCTTCTCAAATGACGAAATTGACATTTCTTGAAGTGTTCAATCTTTCGAACAATGAACTTTCTGGACCGATTCCACATGGAAATCAATTTGATACCTTTGATAATGATTCCTACAGTGGTAACTTGGGATTGTGTGGTTTACCATTGTCCAAGCCATGCATCGACCACGGGGAGGCCGAACCACCTGCACCATTGGTGGTGAAACACAAGGGTTCTAAAGAGTTATCTTTCTGGCAAATTGCAATGATGGGGTATGGAAGCGGAGTTGTACTAGGATTGAGCTTAGGTTACATTGTATTCACAACTGGAAGACCATGGTGGCTTGTTCGAATCGTCGAGAGAGATTTACAATACAAATTCACAAAGTGGATCCGAAGAAACAAACCAAGAAGAAACTAGCTATAATTCCAACATCTTGTCTAGGTGAGTTCTTAACAAGTATTTCGAAAGTTTCATCTTGATAATATAATATCTCAGTTATAACACTATTTTATTTTCGTAATTTCTCGTAGTGGCATCGAAAACTTCGAACTGAACTCGGTAAGATCATGCTTGTTGAGTTTCCTCGGAGGCCAAATGAACAAACCAGGGAGGTGATGTTAATTTAGCCAATAGTTTGGTGATATGAAGTTAAAATTGTTGAGCAAATATTACTTCTAACTATCAACTTCTTCTTGCCTAGCTTCCAATGTCAAATTCCATCTATTATTTATATTGTTGATTTCAATTTCAATGCCAACTACTGCTAAAACTTGAAAAGTGTCTCGAAATTTTGCTTCAAATATAAAACTTCGAGGGTTCAGAGATGCTACCGACGTGTGTTAAGTAATGTTACATTCCGTTAATCTTATTCCATTAATCTAATTTGAAATGAAAATGGATGGGACAAAGTCAAAAAAGATTGTTGGACCAAATTGATAGTTTCACTAGTATAGGAGACAAAATAGGTATTAAGCCGATAAAGTAATACACTAATCTTAGAGAACTATTACTCTGATACTTGCATATCGTTCCTCCTGTATAAGTGTGATGTGTGAACTGTAAACTTGTCGATGTTTCTTACGCATTCAATCTTATTCTTGATGGTCCTAATAGTTGTTGTCGACATCCCGATGAAGAGCCTTCCGCGTTACGATTGTCTTGCATTTCCTGATATCCCATTAAACAAAGATTATTATAATTGTTCCAACGAGTCGAACTCAAACCGGAACCAAGAATAATTACATGTTTAGATCCTCTGTCATGCTCTGAATCTCACTTGACCATAAGAGTGGGTCAGTGTTCTTAGGTAAAGAGTCTTGCTGTGAGTTTTCTCGGTCAGCCACTGCTCGGCTTTGTAGCACTCATTCATTATCTGGAAAACCGAGACTTACCGTAATGAGTTCGAACTTGAGTAAGTATTGCGTTTATAATGTGTAAACAAGTAATTAACTTACCGCTTCTCTATCCTCTTTCGGCAACGATTTCGTCGACATTCGTAAATTAGCAATGCACTTGAGTAGATCTCTTGAAGCCTGTGTTCTTGGTTCTTCATCTTTATATCAAATCTCAACCGGATCCACTAACTATAACAAAGAAAAATAGCAGTGTGTCGCAAGATGGAGTTAGCCACAACCGAGTAAACCTTTACGATTAAATAAATAAACAACGATAACCTTCTTAAGAGATTCTAATTTGGAAGTGTAAGCGCCTTCGGTATCCTCCCCTTCATCGTAAAGCCACTCCTCCGTCTCCTGTAGGCTCCTGGAAATGCCTTTTCTCTCATTTTCAGATGCAAAACCCCGATACGTGTTGAAAAGCTTCACATAAATATTATTAGACAGATATCAGTATGTCGAGAGAAAAAAAATAGAAAACGCCTATTATTTAGATCGACCCTCTTTTCCTTATTCCGCATTTCATAGACGTAAGCCTCCGAGGCATTTTTCCCTCTTTCGTTTGTTCCATAGTCAGGTCCTGTTGCGCCAACTTAAGTCCTTTATCTTGAGCTTCCATCAGCTCAACCTTTGTCATTGTACCGTTTATGTTCTCGCAAACTGGTATCTCAATCCCCTCGGTTGTTTTATCATTCATCTCACCATCAGCCTGCATCGAGGGAAAAAAACACGATTAGACTTAGAACCTACACAGTCTATTGAGAAGAGAGACCGATTTATCTACATGCTCATCGAAAACATGACATGAAAACTACATGATAAAACAGTGAATTATTAATGTATCAAAACCCTAAACCATAAAGATGGCACATAAAGAACAGTATCTAATGATGATACAAACTTACTGAAGCATTTGAGGTACCATCTTCACTGCCATTCATCATGTGTCGGGCATGCTTTGTGCTCATCCCGGAATTATCTACGTGCTCCTTGATCAGCCAAAAGCAAAAATTTTCAGAAACTATATATCAATAAGATGTTCAAAGAAAATGTGGAATCCTACTTACCATAGCCGACACAACAGTGACGATGCCATGAAGGTTTAATTGAACTCTGACTTTAACCCTTGCCCTTTCACTATTGGAGCTTTGGAAAGGGCCACTCTGTAAAACCAAATGATGATCAATCAGTAAACTGGTCAATTCCATCGGAAACAAGAAATATTCGTTAAAGGTTAGACATACAGTGAAGGAACTTATTTTCAAGGGTATGGTGAAAGGGATTTCGTTTGGATTTGCATAGAAGGCTTCCAAATGGAACGTACTACTTCTGTGTAATTGCAGAACTTCAGCACTAGGAATCGGCTGGCCTCTCGGGAACATTACATTATTTGTGCCTTGCAAAATCTGGGTTTCATCCAAAGATAATCCTATGGAGAATGGAATACAATCTTGAACCTCATAATCTCTAACACGATATGAATAAATATTAGAAAGTACCAATCCGTACAACTAATATAATATAAATATCTCATGAGATATTATTTAAAAAAAACCCATATATATTATGAAGGGTAAACAGGGAATAGAAATCTCCAAAAACCAACCACCACGAATTAATTCTACAACAGATAAAAAACTCACGAACCTTAAAACATACGGATCAAACCAACACTGCCTACAAGTGCCCCGCCCAAATGATGGTTAAAGCGACTGCAACTCACTACGAAAGTACAAAGAAAACAAAATAAATTAGGCACAATTTGTTTATGATGTCAAAGAAATGGTAATAAAGCACTCGTTGAATGATTGGCAGATGCTGTAGAGATCACTTTTACCTGCCGCGTTAATTGTATAAGAGATGGTGCTTTGATTCAATAAAGTTGCTTTTCTTGTTTATTTGCCTTTGCAGCCTGGTAAAACTCTAAGTGCTAGAAAATGGCAAGCTGCATTTTCTCTGGATGGACATCTGGATATCGGAAAAACTCTACGTCGAACCCAACGTGGGGTAAGTGGATATTCATTTTAGAAAGATTTTTTGTTCCTGGTGGTAGATTTCATTTAATTCAGTTATCAATGTGTGTATGCGTGTAAGGCTATGTTTTTGTTATATATATATATATATGCTTATTTGTTTTAGTTTCTATTTATTATTAATATTTTTATTTGGTTGGCAAGTACAGGGGATCCATCCATCAATTAGGGGAGAAGTTTGGGAGTTTCTCCTTGGCTGTTACGATCCTGAGAGTACATTTGACGACAGGGATCAAATACGGCAGCATCGAAGGTAATCCATTGTTCCCGTCTTGTATCAATTTTCTGCTGGGGCTTCGTTTCCTTATCGGGAGACCATGTTCTGAGGGGTTTTTTTTCTCATTTCTATACCTCAGGATGCAATACGCTAGATGGAAGAACGAATGTCGTGAAATCTTTCCTGTTATGGGAAGTGGAAAATATATTACAGCACCTGTCATCACCGATGACTGTCAGCCCATTCAAGACCCTTTAGTTCTTTTAGAGACGAATCCTGGCAAGTTACCAGCACGATACTTTTTATTTTATTTTTAAATTTATTATTTAGCTGAAAGTGAACTAATCCAGGCTTTACTACATGATCAGTTATTCAGGTAGAGATGCTAATAAAGCCGATATGGTGAACAAGCTACTTCTTCGTGGTCCTTTTGATAAGAAAGTAATCCAGTGGTTGCTTACACTACATTAAATAGGTTACTTATTGTTTTCGACTTCAAATGCATGCCTCGCTTTGATTTGTTGATTTCTTCTCTCGGCCGTGACTGTGTTCCTCATATTTATGTTTCTGTCAGGTCTTGATGTTATTCGCACCGACAGGACTTTAGTATTCTATGAGAAACAAGAGAATTTGTCGAAACTTTGGGATATACTCTCCTTTTATGCATGGATAGATACGGATGTTGGCCATGGTCAAGGCGAGTAATTTCTTTTTCTAAAACATTGGTTATAGTTTCTATTTGTTGACTGCCTCACTCGATCAAACCTTGGATGTACATGTCATTTTCCTTAAAGTGCCATTAATATCGTGTCCGATGAATATCCGAACACAGGTCCGTATGTGACCCTCAAAGGGTCAAAATACACGGAAATTTTTTTAATATTTCCGTGTGACTTAGGTTAGTAGATCTTTATATTGTTAATGGTGTTTAAATTTAACAGTTGTAAAACTCATCTACTGTAATCTCCATTCATTCTACCTCGATTTGTATTGTTTCCTAAACTCTCTGCAGATGATGTGGGCTCTCGAATACGATCCAGACTTGTTCTCTTTGTATGAAGAACCTGGATCAAAGATTGCCAAGGCTGTAGGCTCCAGTAAAGGGAAACCGAAATCAACACGTCAGTGCGGGAAGTACGAGAGAGAAAATATGAAAACCAAAAGCTCTGATGCTCCACTCCCAATCTCCGTTTTCCTTGTTGCCAGTGTCTTAAAAGATAAGAGCTCAAAGCTACTGCATGAATCTCGGGGCCTCGATGACGTGGTTAAGGTGAGCTTGCATGTTTGTAGCTTTTACTCTTCTCAGATTACTCTCCAATGACGATAACACTAGTCTATAAAGTTAAGCACCAATCAACCCGGCACACCACTATCATGCATTGGACCTTCCGAGACCGTGAAACATAAGCAAAAATATCATGAACACACCAACATGTCAAAATTTATACTAAAAAAAAAAGAAAAAGCTATTTTACGTTGTCATAACTCTTTCATGTCTTGTTTTTATTATCAGATTCTGAATGACATGACTGGAAACTTGGATGCAAAGAAAGCTTGCATTGGGGCACTGAAACTTCACAAAAAATATTTGAAACAGGTATAGCTTTTTCTGTTTCATTCTCCCATCAACGCTTTAAGTTTCCCATACCCGTGTTCGGATGTACATCGAAAGAGTCTAGAATGCATGTACATTGTCAATGTCATCGCTAAATGATTCATTCGTGTCTAGCATCATTTCGATGGTTTAAGATTATAGTTTCATGCCTATTTCTGAATATCTGTCAGAAGCATATAGAGATGAGAAAATGAAGAAACCTGAAAGTGCATATAAATGTCAATGTCGATTCGAAATGATTCAAGTTTAAGATTCCTTCTATGAGAAAAATCTTATGCAGATAACTCCATGAACTCGAAAAACTCATTTGTTTCTCATTTCATGTTGTGACCACAGGCCAAGAAGACATAGCATTATGTAAACCAGATGAAGTTTTCCAGAAATCAGTCGAGAAATGATGATTCTTCTCTCTTTTTCACGTCGCATGCTACCACCTCGTGATGAATCCTGGCTCGGGGATTACCGATCTCTGTATACGGATATGTTTTGTTGTATTTAATAGATACCGTGTGCTTATAATCATTCAAATCTCGGCGAAATACGGAAGAAAACAGTTGATTTGTGTATCAATTCTTTACACCATTTTTATTAGAAACAGCAATGGTTTTATATTAAGCTTTGTTCTTAGTTCTATAATTGAACGTCAAATTCATGATTAAGTTGATTCATGCAATATACTGGAAAAATCCATAGTTCCCAACGGATCTGTAGTTCAATCCGATCTTAAACGATCTTTGAAGGTTATTTCTTCGTATCCATAATTCGCAGTGCAAGCATTTCAGAAGAAATTTATTAACAGAGACGTAAATTAACAAAGATTATAATTTATAAATTCAATGACAAAAAAAATGAAAGAATCTTCACTATTCAACTAATATTTGCACAACAAGATGACCGGATGAGGAGGGAAGTCAACAATGACCATGAAACCCAATCCAACAGGAAAGGCAAGTCTCAGCTTCAGTTTTTAATGTTAGCTTCATAAAGATCCACCATTGTATATGAACGCCTTTCTTCTGGTACTCTAGAGGTATTCCTTTTATCGGAAAATTCCGACAGGAACACTTTGACGGTTTCCCCGTATTGATAGACTGGCAACACCAGGTGGAAAAACGGAAGTTACATCTAACTGATATCATAATCCATGGTGCACGTATGTCTTAGTATTAAGTTTCAGCATATAAACAGCATACCTTCTTTAAACTAACAAGATCATCAACCCTCATCATCGGAACTAGAACTAAAATCGTTCCTTCTTCGTTCTGCGATTGCAGAGAAAAGCTTCTGATGAGGATCAGGGGAAGTTGGTGCAAAACGAGACTCAGAGGAAGATGATGATGCATTGGACTCCTGTTTTTTATGTGCTTTTACCGGCTTCCTTGGGGCATCTCTAACTTCTTTGCAAACCTTATCCAAAATTATCAAAAAGTCGCGTACGATGACAAACAAGCGTAAGCCCTCATCCTTGTGTGCGTTGCCGTGAAAATAATCGCCTGTGCTCTTCACCATTGCCATTATTCTCTTATCTTCCTCGAGCAATGATGTGACGTCAACTTCTGCATTCTGCACAAAACTCTCTAACGTTTCATGAAAACCACTTTCTTCCCTTGAATTTTTCATTTCCGAGTTCAAGAAATCTCGTGCTTTTACAAGTCCATGGCTAAGTTTGGTAACGGTTCCTGTCAAGGTTTCGGCATCAATAGCTGCTGCTTTCTTGACATTTTCGAGTTCACTACTCAGATGGGAAACCACCTCAAGACCGAGGCTATGGTAGTGCTCTTCCGTATCCAGGGAAGCATCCTCAAGAAGATCACTGGAGCTTCTGTTTTCTCTTGCAACCCTGGCAACTTTCATTCCTTCAGTGCGTATAATTTCTTGGACAACAAAGTGTAATAGTGTGGTCTTTCCATCTACTCCTTTAACATCCGATAACTTCAAAAGCGTGTCAAGCTTGAAAGCTTGTGCACCACCACGGAATGTCCCATCATTCATGCGATTTCCGGTTTTAAGAACAGCTTCTAAAAGCTTGAGGAATAAGCGGCTGCTTCTGAGTTCCTTGCAAGCAACCTGCCAACATAGTAAATACAGAATTCAAATGAATAAAACATACATTTTGTTGACCATATAAAATAACTTTTTCCATAAATTTTCGGACCTAAAGGTCGACCTCGTGATTCATGCAAGTCATGCAAATTAAAATTAACGACTCACCTCTAATGTTTCGAAGGACTCTCTAGCGAAAGTAACCTCCTCGTAAAGGGAGCACATATAAATCAGGGTTTCCATCCGTTTAAAAACAAAAGGGATGTCAACCAAGACTCTCAAGAACCGCTCAGCGGGACCAAGTTGGGAAATTTCACCATTGAACATTCTAAGTTTGAGTTCTTCATCCGCTGTCGGGGCCATCTTCAATAAATTTTGAAGGAGTTCAACAGGGAGCTCATTTCCTGATTCAAAGCAACAGGTTAGGATATCAAGATCGAAAACTTAACCCATTAGTACCAACTTCTCCATGTCAGGAAAAAGAACAAATATATAAGGGAACCCAATGTGGTTATTTGGCTGTTAACAAACTCATTTTTTAAAACGAGTTTGAAGATAATTTTTCTTTAAATCGAAAAGTATAGAAAAGCTTGGTCGGTATGTTAACTTCATTTTCCTCCTCCACCCTAAATCGAATAGAGCAAGAGAAACTATTGTATAACGTATAGTTAACTTCAACGAAATGCAAATGTTCTACATTCATCAGGCATAAGTATAAGATAACTCATGATAGGTATATAACACGTCTCAACTACAATTCTTTGCCAAGATGATGTACAAAGTACGAAACACCACAGGCTACGAGAGAAAGTAGCAAATCATATATTAAAAAAAATTGCATTCAATGGAGGTCATTTTTAAGGATTGACTGTGACTCAATTCGTGGTTAGCTATCAAAATTGTCCCCAAGTTGTTGGAAGCACGGATATTATAGTTACCGGTGAAAATGCCAGTAACCATAATAGCTAAGCATGCTCTGCTGACGGCAATGAATGCCACACGATCGGTCTGGAGCACGTATAAAAGACCTAGGCATATGTTTCTCACAAGTGCATACTTGAAAGGATAATAAGGTGGAGGAAATCACCTTCACGAAGTGCGTCACAAACTTCTTCTGTGGTCACATTCAATGCCCGCAAAAGTATAGCTAAATTTTGTGCCTTCTTGGGATCAAGGAGTTGAATATACTGAGGCACGGATTCCTGGGTAGAGGTTTCTTTCTTTCTATCATTTTTGTTTTTGTCAGTGGCTGCATACCCGAACAGGGTTTCTATCATTTCCTCATTGAACCTGCAAACATAGTATAAATGTATCCTGATCCATTGGCATAAAGAGTATAAGGAGACACAAGAAAGAGAACCGTTACATACTGGAAAGATCCAGATTTAATCTGATTCCAGACCATTGAGTGTTCAGGGTTAGCTGCAACTTTATCCCAGAAAAATGGCTTCAATTTAGCTTTGGGAGCATTGCCATTGTCTGCCGAGCCAGATCCCTCACCAGAGATGGCATTCGTTGATCGTTGTGGACCACTTGGTGGACGAGGAACCTTGGGACCTAAAGGCATTGGTGGAGGTGGCCTGGGAGGTCCAGGACCAGCACTTGGAGGCATAGGTGGTGCAGGAGGTCGGGAAGGCATAGCGGCAGAAGTAGGATTCATAGACGGCGCCGGCGCAGGTGGTGCAGGAGGACTAACACTAATGGGGGTAGGAGGTGGTGGAGGAGGACTAGCTCTAATCGGGGCAGGAGGCTCCGGGGGAAGAGGATCTGCTCTGTCCGGAGAATGCTTCAAAGGAAGTAATCCAGGTTGGAAAGCACCAATCCTTCCTGGAGGCAGTGGTAGCAATGGTTTAGTATTGCCTGATATATCAGAAGATTCAGATGAGGCTTTGGTGGCAGCAGCAACATCTCCAAGTGACGACTTCCCATCGAAGGAGAGTTGTTGGGCATTAGATTGAATAAAAACATTCCCATTAGTCAGGGGCCTTTTATTTAGGCTTGATTCATTTCCAAATGATTGATGGCCTAGCTTCTCTTCTTTATTAGTTTCAAAAGCATATGTATGAGGAGAACCTGAAAGAAAATGTTTCGATCAACTTCCAGAAAGCTTTTAGAAAATAACAGTTTGAGGGAAAAGTATATACCACCAGAGAATTCATTTAAGCTTAAATTGAGAAGGGGCCTCTCATCCCTTTTTCCAGCTGAAGAACCTCTACGACAGCATAAAACGAAAAACAACGCAGCAACGACAGATGTTACTACTGCAGTCACGACACAAGCAATAATAATTGTTCTGCTATTATCAGTCCCATTATGCATCGGATCCATGTTGGCTGGACTTATAGCGTTCATAAGACCATTTATTGGAGCTGCAGCTTCGTGAGAAGGTATAGGAAGAAGAGAGGGCAAAGATGCTGAACTTTCTGGACTCAAACGAGGAAATTCAGAGGTGGGAGAAGGAGAAGGAGCCGGGGATGGTCCTAAGTCCGAGGCAGGGGCTATGGCAATGCTCTCGGTAGCCAAAGCCCTTCTAGGAACTCCGTGCCAGTGAAACAATGACTCGAAATATCTGGTGTACCAGGTCTTAAAGCCACTATCTTCTCCAGATACTTGGAATAGAAGATTAGACTTTCCTATGCAGTCAAAAAGAGCTTGTTTTAACTCGGGACGGAGAACGCTAATCAATTTTTGAGTGCTTTCTCTGTCTAACAAACGACTTTTTGTAGTAATATCACTGGGCGTTTCCCACGGAAGATGTAAGTTCAGATCTTCAAAAGCTACATTGAAATCATTCAAATCTCGTCTGCAACTTATCCGTAACAACTCAGCCTGCATGTAAACAACTGAATAACTTTAAACATTGTTGCAGCAAAGAGCAAGTGGCTTTATTTCCTAGTTCCTAAACCTATAGAAACCAAAAGCAAATTTAACATGTGCCCGTAATAATTTCATGAACAACTCTGAACCTTTTGAACAATGATCGTGACCATTGAATAGCCTTTGCCACAAATTTATGTTGTCAAAATACATGTCATTGTCATCAGCAAATGATACGATAAGTTTTAAAACACAATCAAACAGCATATTTCAAATCAAATCAGAGTGCACCTAACGTCGCTTTTTCGTCCTCAAAAGTTAAGTACGTACCCATACCCATACCCCTGTTCTGATACCCATACTCATCATTTTTCGTTAAGTACCCATGTCCGACACCTATACCTATAAGGACGGGTATGGGAGAATAATAACCCCGAATCCAAGCAACATAGGTATGTACTATCCATATATACATGCAAGCTACTGATATTGTGAAAAAGCTCTAATTCCAGCAAATAGTACAATGCGTTAGTGCACAATGTACTCTCGCATATTTCAACATCTAATGTTGATTTTCTTTTCCCTGCATATTTCCCGACGACGTCCGAGTAACATAACCCCGATATAGAAGCGATTGGGAAATTACTAAAACAACTTCAACACATCTAACTAATCATTGAAAGATCATCACATGCTACAAATTTTAAAATACTTGAACTGAATGATTGTGTATGGTTCCTAGATATTCCTCAAAGTTCAATTAAACATGCTACCAACCATTTCTACCCAACAATAATAGCCTAAACAAATTGATTGCAGCCGATTAACATTAATGTAAATCCGAACAATCACTAAAGCAAATCAAGACTCGAGCAAATAAGCAAAGCAGTCAACTTTACCAGATTCTCATCAATCTCCCCAGTTGTTGGATCTGCTAATTGGTTAAGAAATGCTTCTTCTCCATCCTTACTGTAACCTAAGCTGGAAGTCAGTGATACACAAAACAAAGCTATCAGAAACCCCAAACAAATTGTTCTTATGCCACCCATGTTTCCTTTATGTCTTCAGCATCATAACAACTTATTAAGCTCTATCATCCACATTCAAACTTTAAAAGCACTCGGCACCGACTGGATTCAAAATATCCTTCAAAGGCAAACCCTTTAAATCTGCCAGAAAACAAGCAGATTCTGCTAAAAAAAGACTTGATGAAAGATTGGAACTTGGAATCACAACTCAGAAAACCAAACAAAACCCTGAATTTATCCTCCTCTGTAAGCCAAAAAGATGGATCAAAACTTTTAAAAAATAGTAAAACCCAGAAAGCTAGAAAGGAACTATACGCACGCTCAGTAGAGGAAGGACAAAATCAATAAATTTCAAAACTTTTTTAAGTTGAAAGACCCCAAAATGGAACAGATGGAACAGGACAAAGATTGGTCCTGTTGATTATGGAATTTATGACTGAATCATATGAATGGCAGCACATTGGAGAAAACAAAATGCATAGAAAACACATACACGGCATGTAAAAAAAAAAAGTTGACCGTCAACTTTCTTTTTTACCCATTAATTCTTATAATAAGTTGACAAAATAGAATATTAACCCGACCAATGTTCGCTTGTTTCTCGTTTTGAGATTTTAAATCTTCTTTCCTGCATGGAAAGATTTATTGGATTTTTTTAGGATATGATTTTTAACTAAAAATATCTCATTTTATTAATTATAAGTTGATTTTATAAAATGATAGATTTTACAATAAATGAGGTCATCATTCTCAATATCGAATTAAAAGGATAGGATGATTGGCCTATCTAATATTTGATTTAAATTAATAAATCAATAAACTAATAATATTAATTATATTTTTAGTAAAAAATTGAATTTAAATTGTTCTAGATTTTAATAAAGTTAAATATCAGTTTATTTAGAAAATGGGGTGAAAGTGTTTTTAAAAATTATAAGTTCTAGAAAAAAAATGATATTCTGAAAGTCGGATAAAGGAAATTGCCAAAAATTGACCTAACGCTACGCGTTTCATTTTTTAATATAATCTAAAATAAATTTATTATTTCCTTTTCCATCAACTAGTTTCCACTTGTTCTATATTCACATAACATTATTTTATTTTATTTTTAACATTTAATTTTCAATTTTTTTAATCTTATCATTTAATATTTGTTTTTTATTACTTGATTATTAATTGGTGTGATTGAATTATCACATCAAATATTACGTTTTGGTAGTTCCGATAGTTTTTAAATTTTGGCTTTTTTCTTTGAATTTTATTCTCTCTTCTTTTGCTTACCATACTTCCAATTTATTTTATTTTATTTACTGAATTTTACAAATTGAATTATTTTGTTCATTCTGCCGTTAACTCTCTAACGGTGTGCTGACGTGTTATTTTATTATTATTATTTAATATAAAATAATTAAAAATATAAAGAGTAAATTACACCGTTTCTCATTGAATTTTATTATCTTTTATTTTACTAATCCAACTATAAAATAAAAAGAGAAAGTGGTCGGATGCTACCGTCGATCACCGTAAATGGTGATCGTTCGGTCTCAAATTTCATGGGTCACTTCATCTCGATATCTTGAGTCTGAATTCGACGTCCAATTTTTTTCGAAATTTATTCTAAAATCCAAGAATCAGAGATTGAAAGTGAAAAAACTAAAACGTTTCAGTCGAGATTTACGAATTTCGAGACTTTTTTTGTCGAAATAATTATTAGATTCGGACTTAGAGGGTCGAGACGAACCGACCTATGAATTTTGAGACTAAACAGTCGCCATCAACGACGATCGACAATAGCCGAAATAAAAATGGCTATGTAGCCAACAATGACAATAGGGGAAAGAAAATGATTCAAAACGATGATGTTTTAGTATATATTTGAGTTTTTCAAATTGATGTTGTTGTAATGCTTGTATCATGTTATAACATTGTTAAAAAATTAACGGCATAATAAGTAAAATAATTAAATATGTAAAGTTTAATAAATAAAATAGAAAAATTAAAAGTACGATAAGTAAGATAAGAGAAAATAAATTCAATAAAAACAATGTAATTTATCCTTAAATTTTTAAATTCACATTAAAGTATACAAATGATAAGATATTTCTTTATTAAATATTTCAACTATTAAAAAATAAAAAATAATCTTCTAATAAGATAATATTATTTTATTATTTCCCTTAACTATTCAAAATTATAAAATAATCACTAAACTATTTATTATATTTTAAACTCATCATTTTTCATTGAAAATTTGACAATCAATTAAACTAAATATTAACATGAAAATTAAAATATAATAATCATTTAAGATTTTAATTCAAATTTTATCATATCACAATTAAATTATTAAATGTTATTATCAATTTTTTAAAAATATTAAAATATAATAAATTATTTAATAATCATTTTATAAATTTTAATAATTAATAAAATTAACAAAACAACGTTATATAATTAAATAATCATTTTATAAATTTTAATAATTATTTTATAATTTTTAATAATCAATAATTATTTTATAATTTTTAATAATAAATAAACTTAATAAAATACCACTTTATAATTATTAGATATTTTTTTATAACTTTTAATAACTGGATATTATTTGTGAACTTAACCCTTATTAAACAACTTAAAATAATATCCTAGAAAACTATTTAATAGAAAATAACCTACAAAAAATGTTTTAGAATATACGATTTTAATCAATTTTTTTTTGGATTTGCCAAAATGACCAACCAAATCGCAATGCGATCGATAATTCGCAACGCGATTTCCGGTATAGCAAATCAGTTTCCATATTCGCAACGCGAACTTCGACTATCGCATTGCGATAGTAGAAGTTCGCGTTGCGATTTTCCAAATTCGTTGCGATAGTCAAAGTTCGCGTTGCGATTTATTCCAAATTCGTTGCGATAGTCCAAGTTCGCGTTGCGATTTATTCCAAGTTCGTTGCGATAGTCGAAGTTCGCGTTGCGATTTATTCCAAATTCGTTGCGATAATCCAAAATCGCAACGACCGGTGGTATTGCATTTATTTCTTAAGAATTTTCTCTAAAAATATAGTATTTGCGCGAACGTGTCGAAGACACGTATTACCACGACCACGACCACGACTCGAGACGAGACGAGACAGCGACGCGTGAGAGTCCTCCTTGTTCTCTATCACTCAACAAGGAAGTGGGAAAGTCAATCCTTAAATACCATTCCCAATAGTATTTCCAATACTATGTGGGATTGAGCATTACCAACCTTATTCTCAATACTATGTGAGATTGAGCCTTAAATAGTAATATTATTTTTGAATGTTTTGCTTAAAATTACAATAATCGCGATTAATTGTAGATTGACTTTGAATTATGACATATTTAATCGTATAATACTAATGCAATTGGTTGCTGATTCAGTTGTTTTAAGGTGCATAATTGTTAATTGTTTCCTGAATAATCACATTGTATTGAAAACAAGTGTTAGTAATGTTCAATCCCACATAGTATTGGAAACACTATTGTGAATAGTATTTAAGGCTTAGCTTTCACACTTCCTTGTTCAGTGATAGAGAACAAGGGGATTCTCGCGCGCCGCCGCCGTCCGTCTCGTCTCATCGTCGTAGTCGTGGTAATACGTGTATTCGACACGTCCGCGCGAATACTATCTTTTTAGAGAAAATTCTTAAGAAACAAATACAATACCATCCAACGAATTTGAAATAAATAGCAACGTAAACTTGAACTATCGTAACGAATTTTGAATAAATCGCAACGCGAACTTCGACTATCGCAACTAATTTAAAAAATCGCAACGCGAACTTCGACTATCACAACGAATTTGAAAAATCGTAATGCGAACTTCAACTATCGCAACGAATTTAAAAAATCACAACGCGAACTTCGAGTATCGCAATGCGAATATATAAATCGCAATGTTATAGTCAAAATTCACGTTACGATAGTCGAAGTTCGTATTACGAATCTAAAAACTAATTTACGATACCAGAAATCGAGTTGCAAATTATTAATCGCATTACGATTTAATTGGTCATTTTGACAAATCCAAAAAAAATTAATTAAAATCATATATTATAAGACATTTTTTATCACTGATGTTATTTTATCTTAATCTCTTGTGCCAATAATGAAAGCAAACTACAAGAAAACGATTGATAATTCGATTCATATTCACATTAATCTAAATTAACTAACAAACCAAATACAAACCGAACTACAAATCCCCACAGAATGAGCTAACAGAACAACAAACCAAAAGCCAAAAATCCCCTATGGGATGATCCGTTAATGGCCTCTTAGGGTTAGTCCAAACTCATCCGATCTAATCATCGTCGCCACCGACGGCCTTGGAGGTTCCGGTTTTCTTGGGGAGGAGGAGGTTGTGGATGTTGGGCATAACACCGCCGTTGGCAATCGTCACATCGCCCAGCAGTTTGCTCAGCTCTTCGTCGTTCCTTACGGCGAGCTGGATGTGGCGTGGAACGATTCGAGTCTTCTTGTTGTCTCTGGCTGCATTTCCAGCTAGTTCCAGGACCTGAGACAAACGGGTAATTATAGATAAGATTATCAGATGATTATTATCAAGAAAAATAATATAATTTAGTATGTTCTTTAGGTAAATAAGAACCCTAGATAATCAACCTAATTTTCGAGCCTAAAATGTGGACAGGTACTGAATTTTGCCAAAATAAAGCGTAGATCTGAAGATGAAATCTTACTTTCATGCAGGTACAATCATTTTATCCATTTAAAAAAACTAATTAAGAAATCTTGAAAAACAATTAACAAAAGTAGATTTGAGAAGAAAATTGTTGATAAAATATCGTAAAATTTCAGGAACAAATGTCGGAAAATCTCAATTAGGTTATAAATCAACACTTCCTACCGAGATCTACCGACAATTTTTTAACAAAAAAGGGAAAAACAAAGATATGATACGAGAAAATTCGAAAGAAATAAAGTTACTGTACCTCAGCAGCAAGATATTCAAGAACGGCGGCGAGGTAAACCGGAGCTCCAGCTCCGACCCGCTCAGCATATTTTCCAGCCTTAAGGAAACGAGCGATACGACCCACCGGAAACTGAAGCCCGGCCTTGCTACTCCTCGATGTTGCCTTCTTCGACGCTCCAGATCCTAGAGTCTTGCCCCGGCCCGCCATTTGTACCCGAAACAAACAATTAAAACGAAGAAATACAAAAATTAGAGCGTTCAGTATGAGAAATAGAATATCAGTGAAAATGTTTGCCGCTTATTTTGGGTATATATAGGGGAGTGAGTGAAGAAGTCATCCAATGGGAAGAGAGTACGAAGATCATGAATGATGACTGTAGGATGGCAATTAAATTGACGGTCTGGATCTGAAAACCGAATACCGCTTTTGTCTCTTTATTATTACGGTAAATTATAAATTTCGTCACTCAACTTTCTTTTTTCTTTTATTTTGACAAAAACTTTCTTTTTCCTTTCATTATATCACTCAATTTTTTTAAAATTTTTATTTACTTATTAAATTATTGATTTATTCTTATTTTGGTCATTATAATGTTAATATTTAAGGGTATTATGATCAAATTTCTATAAAGAAAGACTATGAAATGACCCTAAATTTTATTTGTATAAAAAATAATGATTTTAAATTCTTTTTATTTTCTTGATGATAAAATATTTTCTTTTAAATCCTAGTGATATGAGGGTGGAGAAAGAGAAATCGAATAATATATATTGATTCTATGTTGACTAAGTAGTGGATATAAGTATGTATGTATAAGGACGTTAAAACAATTAATTTAATCGTTAATTAAATTATTTAAAATTAAATTAATTAAAATTTTAAAATATTTAACCATTAATCGAATAAAAGTAAAATTTAAAATTCAATAATCAATTAAATAAATTTTGATTAATACAATATATTTTTTGAATTAATCAAAGCTTATTATTTTTTAAATAATTTCTATCTACAAGATTCCATACTATTTAATTAAGACTTCGCGCTTAAACCATGTAAATAAAGGAGTAAACACATTTAATCGGTTGAATTAGTCGTTCATCTTTATCTTCTTAGGTTATGAGTTCTAGACTTATTGGAAGTATTCTTCTTATCTTCTACTCTATGTAGGATTAAGATTAAACTTAGAATTTTTCAAAGAAAAAAATCATACGGATAGAGAATATAAAACTCGAACAATTTTTCTCTTATTAAAGGTCATAATCGACTTTATTTTTGTACGCTCGATGAGACATGGAGGAGGAATTGTGACGTTTTTTTCAAAGAATTATTATATCAATAAAATTAAAGTTTATTCCATCTTCATTTTTCTTTTTGGTACAATATTCCATCTTCATCTTCATTATCCTCGATTTTTAACTTTATTTGTTATAACTTTTGTTTTTTCTTTCTTTTATTTAAATAAAATTATGGACAACTTATAAATAATATTATTTAAATTCAAATCACCTTTGAGCTCACCTTAATCATCCTCGTATCCATTTATATAATTCATTCACTTGGGAATAATAAAAAAAATATAATGGTTTGAACATACCAAAAACTCTTGATTTCTTTTAAATCGATCAAATCTTTAAAAAAATTATTCTCAATTAACTTTTGTACTCTAAACTTTTATCGATTTATCTTTTCATAAATTTAATATTTTTTAAAACAATTAGAATTGATTACTAATTTAATTTATCGATTCAAGTGTGCTATTTATTCAATTTCTCAATTTGGTTTAATTAATTTTCTTAATTCCAAATGTTCATTTGGGTACAATAAAAGTTCAAACGACTTAATTGAACTTTTTTTTTTTTAAGTTTGAGGGCTTCATGCATCTTTAAACATAAAACAATTTGGGCAAACATGGTAATCACTACCCAGCAAAGCATCAAAAATTGAAAGGAAAAAAAAAACTGTGAAATCATATTAAGGAAAAAATTTATAGTATGGGGATTAAAATGTATGGAAGTGCAATGCTATTGGAGCCACCTCTATAAAAGACCCAAGGGAGTACCTAAAGTCTCCCAAATGGAATTCAGCTACTGATCCTCTCAAAGAAGTACAAGTAACCCATGTCCTTGGGTGGATCGATTGAAGCACCAACCTTATTATCGTTGAATATCACCCATCTGCCATCTTTCAGGATGTGAGCGACATAATGGCCGCACTGAGTCGAGGTTCCGATGTGACTCACTATCCCAAAAAGCCGGTATCCTTGTATTAACGAAGCATTGCCGGGTAAGAAGTCTAGTGTGAAACACACAAACAAGACAAGTTGATATTCGAAAAGAAGACTCACTTCCCCCTCCGTCGGGCAGTCCTGTATCGACCAGAGTAGGCGTGCTGTTGCTTGCTGTATCCGTATCCATAGTTGATGCAGCAGCATACGCATTGGGATTGTTAAATATCCAATCTGTTGCTTTTTCAATGTCGCCACCCTGTAAGAACGTAAAATTTCCGAGCATAAGAAAACAGACGTGGAGAAAGTTGCAAACCCGTAAAAGAAATGAAATACTGCAAAGCCTTTACCGATGCCTTCAATGCCATTCGAGCAATCTCTTCTTGAAAACCAAATGAAACCAAAGTATCAATGGCTGACTGGTCAATAGACAACTCAGCACCTTTCGCACCATGGGAGATAGGAGCATCGATATCTGATAAGATAGATCAATGATTACCACTTGGATATGATGCTATGTTACAGCTACAAAATGCAGATCCTTTGCAGAAAGGTTCAAAATTATGCTTATAATGCTAAATTCCGAATACCTGGATCATTCATATGTGAAAGCAACCAGTTCATGGCATCTTCAACACCAGCATTTGAAGTGTTTATGGCAGCTTTCTGACAATGAAGCTGGTTAAACCCCATTGAGGCAAGCTGGCCAACAATTGCATCATCGGCAACAGGCTGACTTGATTCCACCTCACCCTCAGGAGCTATAACCAGTAGAAATAAAAGATGCCAAAAAAAAATTACAAATCAATATTTCTCTTTTACATCTTTCTTCTAAATTCAATTATCATTCACAGAATCCATTAATTCACATACCAGCCTCTGGCAACAGTTCTTCTCCGGGTTGAAGGCCTTTGCTGCGCATATGGCTTATATCTATGATGTCGGGAACATCTATGTAGACATCTGAACAAACAATACACATGATGAATATCGATTCAGAGTAACATGCAATGTAAGTAGAAACATCACATCAACATACCAAGCTTTTTAGGCACCCAGCCTGCCTCCATGACAAACTTCCTCATGTGCAATACCAAATAATCGGGGAATGAAGTTAAACCAGCAGTCCTGTTGTGTAAAATACAAAAGAGAAACAATAATCCTCCAAACACTATACGGTGTTATCAAAAGAATACTCTACGGTTGCTAGTCAGCAGCAATTGATTAAAACACCATCAGTTAACTATATTGTTATCCTTTCTTTAATGGGAACTGCATGCTTATCTCAGACCCTTCTTCAATAGCATACATTACCTAAGGGCAGACAACCCCATTAAAAAGCACAAATCTTACTTGAGAGCTGTTGTCTTAGCCTTCAATGAAGAGCTATAGAAATCGGGTATCTCCTCTGGAGCTGCAAAGTTTGCTAAGCATGCTTCTAGAGGTACCCTTGGACGAACAATTTCATCATTGGATCTGTAAAACAAGGAAACCTAAGAAAAAGGGTCTAAAGGCTAAAAGTACCATATAAGATCATTGGAACTTACACATCCTTCCCCTCTGACATCTTTTCAGCTTTGATTTTGTTAAAAGCCTCCAGCTCTTCTGAATTGTCAAAGAATAAGGCATTAGGTTTAACTTTTTTAAATAGAAGAACAAAGATATGAATGAAACACAGAGACACGAACATATATATAAATATAGAAACCAAAACTTACGTTTATTAGTAGCTTCGTGCAGTGGAATATTCAAAGATAGAATATAGTCTAGCCTTTTATTATAAGCAACCTTCCCGGATGAACACAAGATACGATCTTCAACACTAAACTTGAAACTCCTCGAGGGATCCAGTTCAGGTTTTGCAGCATTAGAACGTTCAACTTGATCAAGAAAATGAAGGAAGAACTCCAAGGCATCCTACAGACAATTCAAGTGTCCATATAAGTAACTGATGGATACATATAGAGTAGATTATGAGCCCCTAGACACATCCTACTGTGCAATGAGAGGATTAACACACACAAGCCCTATTGCAATGACAAATACTGTCAGATAGTCACATTCCCATATCTAGCCTTAGAACTTTTAAATCATTTTCTTTATGGAGTGTAAAAGAACCATTTTAAGATTTACTGGAAATGTGGCAAATTCAAGTTAATGCTAGAAACCAAATAATTATTTCATAGTACAACTAGTAGAGTTGGCACACCTGTTGTCTCATGGTAGAAAACTCAGGATGGCTGGCTGCAATAACTGCTTTGAACATGCGAGGAGGAATCCCTTCTTGTTTCTGATATTTTCAGAAGGTTAACAAATGAAAAGAGGTTAACGGACAACTGTCAGGATTGTTCAAACATAGCATGTAGGAATGATAATAACATTACTGATGATATGAGACAGATTTTATGGCTAAACACCTAAACCTATGCGGCTATGCTTCGCAAGAGATTTTCAGGTTACGCATATACTTTTACCACAATATATTTGGCACATCCATTATATCATCTAAGAAGTAAGAATCTCCTATATCAGAATACACATTGGGAATCTTACAGCATCTTTTACTGAAGGTGTAGCAGTTCCATCTCTCTGGATGATAAAAAAATTAATTAATTCGTTAATCAGGGGAAAACGCAACTTTACTGAGAAAAACAGATTGATATGGTTACTGTACCTCTGATGCTGGAAGAGAATATTTCCCAGAAAGTAAGCCATGTGCCAGTTTTGTTCTGCCACACAACCAAAACAGTTACATGATCATCGGGGTAGAGAAGAGGCAAAAGTATCAAACTGCTTACTAAATTCATAGCAAAACAAAGAAGGCAGGGAAAATACCAAATCAATAAGTTCAACAACAGCAAACATCAGAATAAGAAGAGAATATTTGTGCATCACTGCTTTGTATATAAAATAACATAAAGGCTCACCACACAATCTTTGTCAAGAAAGACAGCAACAAAAACATCATCATAACTACCAATATTGTGGGAACTATTTTAACACACAAAATATTGAAATAAGGAATTAGTAACCAGAATAAGAAGCTTACAACTGCATGTTGAGGTCTACAGTTGGATCAGCTGGAGCTGTCTCAAAAGCCATTTTTAAGCTTTGGTTCATATAATATCTGAGACCACAATATGAGAGAGAGAATTGGGGGAGGGGGGGCAAGAGAAGCAAAAAAAAAACATGAGAACTTCCAATTAAACTTTGCCCAAAACTAAAATAAAAATTTAAGTGAATTCACGATATTAGCTTTATAACTTACTGTCTACAGAATGACTGCGTTGAGAACACAACTTGCATGGTTGCTGCCATGTAGCAGCTGCATGAGAACAAATTTTGGTAATCAGAAACATCAAATCATTATATTGTTTTACCAGCAGCCTTCGCCCTATTCACAATCAACATTACCTGTTTCCAAGATTCACAAGACCTGTATAACCTGGTCCAAAAATTGGTTCCACATCCTGCCCACTTTCTTGAATTCTATTCCAATCAAAATTGGTATTCTGGTCAAGCTCCCTTTCAGCAGTTGTCATTTCAGTCTAGAAACAGATAGAGATTATAATTTCTAATAAGACGACACTATATAAATCATTTATAAACACTTCAATCTCCTTATATTTTCTGGTAAGCTTTGAAACTTACATTCTACAGTAATGATATGACTTGTTTACCAGTCAAGATATTGTCTGTCATGATTTATACAGAATATTGTTGTACTTAAATGTTTTGTTTTATGGAAACTCCAACTGCAATAAACATTACAGACCTTAAGGCCAACGCAATTCATTTTTAGCAAATGGTTTTTTTATAGAAGTTGGAGGTCTCATTAAAACCCCCCTTCATGCTTTCCGGAATACTATCAAGTATCCGAAAAGTAGCGGAAGGAGGAAAAGAGTACCTCTGATTTTATTAGCACACAGCAAACATTACAAGAAAGGAATATTACAACAGCTTAAACCTCTCCTAAACCAGAAAACCCACTCCCTCTTAAGGATCTGGTAGAATTTTTAGCGAATGTTATCATTCAAAGTGTAATAATTACATTGAAAAGTTTTTATACATTAACATATTACAAAATAGGCATCAAACTTAAGGATTCGGAACCACTTCCAGAATGTAAAACAAAAATGAAATTTGTAGAGATAATAAACACAAAAGTACAATTGCATAACAAAATTGCAATGCAACTATAGCATACATAAATGTATGTGTATCTTAAGGACAACACTAAGCAGCAAATAATTAATCAAAAGAAAAAGCTAACCTTTTGCAATGATGAGAAATCAATACCAAAATATGCCAAATGCTCTGCTAGATTTGGGTCTATAACACTATCATCCTCTGGGTAAGAGAAAACATCTGCAATGCCAGAATAAGTTACCAAGGTAAGTTCTGAAAAATGTCAAAAGACTCAAAACCAAAGCACAAAAGAAAGATAATCACCAAACTGTATTTCAGACTTGCAGTTCCAAAAACCTCATTTTCAATACAAATATATCTAGGGTTGAAATTTCATCAGTATCTGAGAGCAGAGAGAGTTTATAACAATTGTGGACCGATGGAAAGTTACTAAAACGACACCAGAAACAAAAATATATATACAGTGAAATACAACTATAAGGAAGCATTACCTGCAGCTTCAAGATCAGAAGCAATTGTCCCAAGCTTTACAGCTAGAGGATAGCCAGTCTCCTTGTAGTGCTCAACAGCATGGTTGTTACCACCCGTTCCATCCCAATTTTTCCTCCCACAGAGTATCATTCCATCAGTAAGATTTAACCATAGGTTATCTGTTTTATCACACTTGGCACATTTCCAACCAGATGGGGGAACAACAACATTGCCAATTTGCTGCAACTCCATAGCATATCTACTTTTTTGCTTCTTATCAGCTGTCCAGGCTGCAACTTGTTCTTTCCGTTCAGCACCCTCAGCCATTAAAATAGCATCAACTGTCAACCTTACCTAAAGTATTCGTAAGGGATAAACAAGCCTGATTCTCGTCCAAGATGAAGAATTTCTACATTTAATTTGAAATTCTATAAAAATAGAAATTGTGACAATTCATACCTTCTCAGGCAACTCCACAGATGGAAAAGGAAGTGTTACATAGCTAGGCAAAATGACTATGTTGTGAGTTTCTTCATATTCTGGCTCATTATTGTCAAATCCACCATCAATACCTATAAATCAAATTGCATAGATTAATCATTTTCACTGAAGGTAGTACTACGCAATAGAACCCTTCAGAAAACATTTGAACTTTCCAAACTTTGGCTTGTACCAATTTGTAGTTTCACAAGGGTTCAACAAGCAATAGCTCTAATTCTATAAACATGATAGTACATGGATAAAATTGTTTCATTTTTATTAGCACTTCAAGCCTGCAAGCACCACTTTTGCTTTAACACATAATCAAAGTCCAAAGAAATTAAAGACACTGGCCTCAGAAGTGCATCATTTACTGGTCTCAACTCAGAAGTATAGGACATGATTATAGATTTGACATAGGCATTTTCAATGTTTTCCCTTATATTTGGAACCGCAGAAAATAATAACAAATGTCTATACACTGAGATCACAAAAACGTAACCTAAACTACTGTAAAAATAAGTGCAAAACAAGATAGGAACCCTTCTCAGTTCCGGTGTTATCAGGGGCATGCAATACGAACACAAGGTGCTAGAGCCGTTATAGTTGCTTAAGGCACACATAAAAGGGCTTGCCGGAGTAAAGTAAGGAACAGTATGTATATTCCGACCACCAACATGAACAACAACAATACCACATAGTGTTCACAAGAGCAAGCAATAACAAGTGGAAAAAAAAAACATATTAAACATAAGTACAAGAATATTGTAAAAGTACCAATAGCCAAAAGTGCGGGTTTCTTCAATGGCCTATCTTCTGAAACCAACTTTTTTGTTTGCTTAATATGCAGATGAACTGGATTTCCAGTCTTCTCGTAATTCCAAGCCACATGATCTTTCCCGAATGCTAGAAACGTATTCATATCAACAAACAATCCTCCTTCTGACCTCTGCAAAAATTCAACCTCATTTGAGAATTCTTGAAACAAATTTTGAACAAGCAGAACCTAAAAATAGTACCAACAACAAAAAGAAATAGAAAATATTGAGTCAAGAATCTGTGCTTTAACTAACTTTATCGGAAGCAAAATAAAGTCGAAACAATCAGAAGTCAAAACACGTATCGTATCAACAGAGTGTTAGCTAAAACTATTTACAAGAAATCCAGTAGTTCCTCAAGAAACAAAGAGATAACAATCGAGAAATTTATATATAAAAAATAAATGAAAAGGAAGAGTACCGGAGAATCGAAGGAGAGGCAGCATTCTTGCTTGTAGATACGATTGGTAGGTTCGGGGATCCGAACCCGAGAGAGTTTGGATCGGAGCAGCTCCATAGGGTTCATCTCCTCCATTTCCTTTCGGATTGATTTAGGTTATAAAGAGAGGGAAAGAATAAGGTTTTTGCCCTAAGTTCAAGCAAATGCAGAGACTGTTCTTTTTTCAGAGAATTTCTCCTTTAATTGAGAGATATAAAGAGGATGTGTGCTTTTGAAGCAAGACTCTTCGCTGAACCCCTCCAAACCACTCTGGACAAGTGAAAAATGATAATTAAAATTTCATATTTAATAATTAAACTACCAGTTTTAGTATTTAAATTTACGATTTTTTTTAAAATTATGCATATTTTTTAGTTTTTATTCTATTTTAATATTTGTTAAAAATTTAATGTAATTGGTACCTAAATTGTTGATTTTGGTCTATTTTAATGTTTGAACTTTTGTTTTTTTTTCAAAATTTAATGTTAAATTCTGAACAGATATACTAAAATAAAATAAAAACTAAACTTTAAGTATAATTTTAAAAAAAATTAAAAATTTAAATACTAAAATGGATCAAAAACTAATAGTTTAGATACTAATACGAAATTTACCCTTAAAAATAAGACATTAAAAATAACTAAATTCGGCTTTCAACCCGGCTTAATTTCATAGGATTGAGTTTTTTTTAATTGACTTTAAATCAGATCATTCGAGTTTAAATTTAAAATAAAAATGTATAACTCAATCCAACTGACCAAAAATAATAATATAATAATAATTATTATTATTCTTCACACTCGCCGTTAATAATAACAAAACTGATAATATAATAATTTTTTATTTTTATTCAATGATACCACGAAATTAGTTTATAGTGACATGTCGATATTTTTTGTAATCATAGATAATCAAAACAGACTAAAACGTAACGTTAAATATAATTTTGAGAAAAAATAGTTAAGTGACCAAAACAGAGATTTGAGAATAATTGAATGACTAAATAATATCTTATTTTTTACAGCTTAAAGTACCAAATTGAAAAAATGTACAATATAGAAACCCTCAAACAATCACCGCATATCACTTGGATGTTATTCAAAAGCGATCACTATCTCTGCATCCATCGTTCTCAGCTACGTGTACGACTCCACCATGCGCCACTCTTCCGCCGCTGCCGCCGACTACCTGTACGGCTGAAACCAAAATTATTCCTTGCCGGCGACGGTGCTTGCTCCGGCTTTGTATGCAGCCATGTCGAGGTCAATTGCCTTCTAGAACTTTCTCTTGTATTAAGATTTTCAAAAGAACGTGTATTACTTGCTGTTCTTTTCATTGTATTGATCGGAATGGGCTTAAGTATTCGCAATAGGCTTAGTTTACTGAAGATCCTGCCTTTTGCTATTGTTTAGTTTAATTTATGAATTTATGATCGAGTTTTCAATTCTATTTCTTTTAGTTTCATCTTTAATAGTGTAAATGATAGTGTCAAAGCATATTAAAAAATATTTTATTAATTTGAAAATGTTATATATAGAGGTAGAGTTAATTTTATTGTTTTCAGTTTGGTTGTTCTTTCATCTTGTTGAACTGGAACACGTTTAACATTTTGCAGATTTTTAAGCTATGGAAATGCTAGGAGGGTTGCGCAATCAATTCATTCAAACTGGAAGAGTAGCTTCCGGGAATCGAATAATAACGTGGTGCATCCTAAAGTTGAGTTCCCTTTCTCACTATATAGGCTATACTCACAGTTTAAACATTCACTTAGAGAAGATACTATGCCTTTTACATTGTACAAAGTAATGGAAAGATTATCTAAGAGTTATCAGCCCCAGAGCTTTCAGGCACTTTCGCCTAGCTATTCATTCTCGGTCAAACCACAAATTACTTGGAAGAGGCTTTTTCAAGTGTTTTACTATGATGGTCCAGCTTCGACACCAATAAGTAGAATTGCCCGTGCAGCGAGTCTAGCTTTAAGTAGGTCGAACCACATAGCTCCTGGTGTTATTGCATTCTTACTCGGAGAGTTAGCTTGGACCCAGCCGAAATGGGCAGAGGCAGAAGGCTTCTCCACAAAGGATTCTCTTTATATGCAAGCACAAGATGGGCATATTTATTTGGCATCATTTGTATTTTTCCTTTTGGAATTTGTAATTTTGTTATACAGAGCTATCTATTTAGTGATTTTGTTTTTACCCAGCATAGCAATGGCTCCCTTTGTGGATTCTCTGGGTTCTGAGTTCAGAAAAAAATGGATTCATATTCTCCACCATACACTGGAAAAAGCAGGCCCAGCGTTTATAAAATGGGGTCAATGGGCTGCAACTAGACCAGATCTGTTTCCCAGAGATATTTGCAATGTACTTGCTGAACTTCATACGAAAGCTCCATCACATAGTTTCTCTTTCACAAAGAAGTCCATTGAAAATGCATTTGGTCGAAAGTTATCTGAAATCTTTGCTGATTTTGAAGAGGAACCGTTGGCATCTGGAAGTGTTGCTCAAGTTCATAGAGCAACATTAAGGTATAGATATCCTGGTCAGCAGATCAAGCCCATCGTAGTTGCTGTAAAGGTTCGGCATCCTGGGGTTGGTGACGCAATTAGAAGGGACTTTATGATAATTAATTCTGTAGCTAAAATTTCAAAGTTCATTCCTACGCTGAAATGGTTGAGATTGGATGAAAGCTTACAACAATTTGCTGTTTACATGATGTCTCAAGTTGATCTTGCTAGGGAAGCTGCACAACTAAGCCGTTTTATCTACAACTTCCGAAGATGGAAGGATGTCTCATTTCCGAAGCCACTATACCCATTGGTGCACCCCGCGGTTCTGGTAGAGACTTTTGAGCACGGAGAAAGTGTTTTGCACTATGTGGATGAGCTTGAGGGACATGAACAGATTAAAAGTTCCCTAGCTCACATTGGAACACATGCACTTCTAAAAATGCTTTTGGTATTATCCGCTTGTCCATTCTTTCAATCATTTTTATTATTTCATTTCTTCTTCTAATGGTGGTTAAACCGTTTAGCATTGCATTAGATCGTTTGTACGGTTTCTTCTACCCTGTACTCTGGTACTTGGTTTCCTATTTTGCATCTGAAAATTGTATGCGTAAGTCATGCTATGATTTAGAGATTGGTTTTGAACTTATGGTATTCCTTTCTTCCTCTCCAGGTAGATAATTTTGTTCATGCGGACATGCATCCTGGAAATATTCTTGTCCGTATAAAAGATAGACGAACACATAACCAACTCTTTAGTTCAAGGCCTCATGTTATCTTACTTGATGTGGGCATGACAGCTGAACTCTCTGGTACAGATCGTTTGAACTTACTGGAGTTTTTTAAGGCTGTTGCCCTTCGAGATGGTCGCAATGCTGCTGAGTGCACACTTAGATTATCTAAAAAGCAACGTTGCCCCAATCCAAAGGCTTTCGTGGAGGTAATGCACTATGGTGGATTTAACATAATTATTTTCCATACCATCATAAAAGTTTGTAGGACTGTCATTTGAAGAATTTGTTTATCCAAGAATTCAACAACATATTTCATGGTTTTACCATGTTTTGTTTTAAGCATTAAACCATGTTTTCATATCAAAATTGGTTTATCGGACAATGTTAGAACCTTGTCGACCAAGCATTTGACTTTGGTGCAGAAATACCTAATGATGAATTTGTTTCGTCTAGTAATGAAGTACCATTTTGTGCACCATGCATTTTATCTCTATTATGGATAATTGGAACCTTCCTTAGATTGTAAAATGCAATTAATTAGGTTAGCGTGCTTTAAAGACCTAAGCTTTTTACATTGCTCTCTGTTGTACCCAAAAGAAATGATCCAAATCTAAGCTTTTTACATTGCTGTGCAGGATGTTGAGAAATCTTTCGATTTATGGGATTCCCCAGTTGGCGAGTCTATCCACCCAGGTGAATGCATACAGCAACTGCTTGAGCATGTTAGACGTCATAAAGTCAACATCGATGGAAATGTTTGTACTGTAATTGTTACCACATTGGTTCTCGAGGTAATGCAGTCTTTGCCTGCTATTTATCTGTCTTCTCTTCCTAAGGAAGTTGTTGACTTCCTTTTATTCATTTTTTGGGCGTGACAAGTGATGCAATTTAAGCTATGCTGCTCCGACATTTTTTTGTGAATTTCCCATGTTAGACTAGGTATGGGGACATGATCGTGCAAGGACCCTCAACTTGAAAAAAGGAAAGAAAAGAAAGATAAGAACATATCCACGTTAAAACACTTGTCTATATCCAACACTGACAGTCGAGTCTGAGTAACATAGAATATAAGGATGCACACGTAATGCACTGGCATTCTTATCTTTGTTGAACTCATTTGAGAAATCTTCAATGGCACAAAGGAAACCATAAATCCCATTTGCAATGTTCTCAAAGAAAACGTTGTGCCTTTATGGTTGTTTAATATTAGTGCTTGCAGTCTGGAGTAAAATGGATCCCCAAGTGAGTGCTAATGTAGAAAACTCCATAACCGGGCAGCTCTGTGTTAGAACTCGAGCAGGGGTTGCATCACATAACGTCTCGAATGAATTCTGCCTTATCAAAGTCCTATCTCTTTCTTTCTTCCATTACAATAAGAAAAATGCATTGCACTTTGTTGTCATGACTCATGGACATGAGCATATCCAAGAAAACCTCGTAGCATAATCCGAAAGCTGAATCTTTCTCGAAAACCCTCACCGAGATTTGCATCGAGGTGAAAGTAATTATTATAGAATCTATACTTTAACTACTTGTTGAACAATGCTCCATAGATCTGGAAAACTTGAGAAGTAAAACTCGGATTTACATTTGTGTTTCGGTTTCCATCTTTTGTAGGGATGGCAGCGGAAGCTCGATCCTCAGCTGGACGTGATGCGCACGTTGCAGACTTTGCTATTTAAAGTTGACTGGGCTGAATCTCTATTTTACACCATTGAAGGACTTGTTGCACCTTAAAAGGACTCTGTTCATCTCCTCTATCATTTTTACCCAAAGTTTTGATGGCCAGGTATGGCATTAACATGTTACAATAATTAGAAACCTATCGTTCAGTTTCAAGTTCGGGTTCGAGTTTCGCCACTGCACTCTAAGGTTAACCAATATTCTGTTTATATGGATAATGCGGTTCGTAATTTTTATTGTTGACCTCTTTTAATTTACAAAGTTTGAATAATCGAAAAATCGAAAATTAAAATGATTTCATTTTGATCTTTAGTTAAATAATTTTCATTTTGATTTTAGTTAAATAATTTGATTCTTCTGTGATTTGGTTTTTGTTTTCCTTATTTCTTCAATTTTTCTTTCAAAAGCTGACTGTAGTTTCACGAGAACCTGGCAACAGAACAAATTTTCGGCAAAACTAGTCTAATTGGTCAGGCCGATTAATTTGGGATCTAAACACTTATTACTGTGAGAGACGAAATCGTATGACGAATTTTAAAAAATATTTTTTATTCGGACTTAAAATATAACTTTTATTAAAATTTATCATGTCAGGTCGATAAGTTTTAATATATATTTTATTATAATTTGTCATGCCATCTTGAAAAATTATAAGTTACTGTTACTGTAATAAATGTAGTTAGATTGTTAATTATTTTTTGGACCGCTTTATAAGCCTAAATAACTATTACGTCAGGATTGTTTGCCTAATTTTGCCCAAAATTTTGGCGAATTACCTGGGTTTTTTCATTTAGATGCCACGTGTTATCTGTTTCTCACGTGCTATATTTATTGCTAGGATAAATTACATTGTTCCTCAAATTTACTCTCTTTCCTTTTTGTTTTTTTTAGTCACCGTACAATGCATCAAAATATAATATAAAGAAAATTTTAGAGACAATAGTTACTAAAATACTCATATAAAAAAATTAAGAATAAAGATACGAAGAAAATTAAAACCTTCCAATAAGAGTGACGACCAAAATAAAAAACCAATAACCTTTATAAAAAGTCTGTTTGAATGAAAAGATAAAGGAGTAGAGAGCGAGCCAAATAATCTAGTAAATTGTTTTACTATACAATCTAATTATATCGACAAACATTATTTTATTAAAAGAGGGATTTAATTATACGTAACCATTGACTAACTAATTAGAATATAAATGTCGTGATGATTTTTGTGCGAGAACCAAAACGACCACAGAGGTATGCGAAAAACATACCAACAATTATGAGGATCGTGCTACAAGAGTGGAGAAAACGCTTGTCACAAGGACAAAGAAAAATCATATCACTAAGTGTCCCTAAGTCCCTAATAGACACATGATAGAAGACATAATATAAGAAAAAAACAAGATAACTAATAAGCATCTGGGGTCGGTAATTAACTATGTTTAGTGTGTCGTCGGCTAAACAAAAATCAAAGAGAAAGAAAAAGATGACACAAAAATATTAAAAGAAAATTAAGAAGAAGAAGAAAAAGACGCGGCTAAGTATTTTTAATGAAACTTAATACCTAATTAACTTTTTTAATAAAATAATGTTTTAATATAGCTCACGTGGAACATTAAGTGTCCCTCTCTTACTGATATTCCTTAATTAAAATTAAAAGAATAAATAAGACAATTAATATATCTTTAATTATGTGATAAAATGTAATTTAATTGATGTTATCCTTTAAATACTTAAATAAGATGCTGATCTAATTGAAAAAAATCTTTAAAAATATTCTTATCTATTGAGTTTGGGTGTAATTAGATATAATTACACAAAACCCTTAGATATCTATGTATATGATGATGGTTATCTTTTCATATTTTTTATAACATGCAATGGTTTGAAAAATCATTGTTTAGTTGAGTTTGGATGTAATTATATTTGATTATACAATTATAAAATACTTCTATAATTATCATATTTGATAGATCCGACTAAATTAAGTGTAATTAAAAATATTTGATTATAACACGAACTAAATTATTTTGGTGGTTAAAGGAATGATCGTTATTCCTAGAGGTCTCGGTTTGAACACCAATAACTGCAATATGGGTGATTATAGTATTTATTGTTAAAAAAATGATAAAAATGCATAATGTTATTCTTAGAGGACTCTAATTCGAGCAATTGTGTCTGTAAAGTATGTGTATTATTAATAAACTAAGAAAAAATCTGAATAAATATTACCTTATAATCATGTCAGATTATTAAAAAAAAAACTTATAATCAATGTTTTTTAAACTATGGATTCAAAACAAATACCACTGGAAACAAATGAAGGTAAAGGTCTAATCCAAATTAATAAGAAAGTAGTAATTTTAAAGTAAAAGATTCAACTGAGTTTTGGGGCTGAAAAACTTAGCTATAACTCTTGAATTCAGTATCTCTAAGGCCTCCTTAGATTTGATGCAAACGGGCGTCTTATATTGGCTCAAAGAAGCACCTTGGGACACAGAGTAATCCATCAGTTCCTCGAAAGTTCCTTGCTTTACGACCCTGATCTCCAAAGCTGCAATTATATTCTCTCTCCTATACATTCTATAGGTAAAATGTAACGAATCTTCCATTCGAGAGCAACATTCTTCCATTACCTTCGGGTCGAGCTTGTTGCCGTTGTTGCTTTCTTTTGCTTTGAGCTCCCAGAATATGACATAGTGACCTGGTGTTGAAGAAGTGTCACCGTAGCTAGTATAGCCCGTCAAGATGAATCCGAGCGGATCGAGAAGTGTTTTTGCTTCGGTTACGGCCTTTAAGAGGTCCGCTTCGCTTGTTCTTTCCAGATCGACGCTTAGAACGACGTTTTCCCTCCCTACGAATCGGAACTGAGGTGTATTGTTGTAGAAACCAGTCACCATAAGAACATCGCCAACTCTATATCGGTATAGTCCTGAAAATATTAGATCATTATCTGATGCATCAATTTTGGCATTTGATTAAATTTGGCTCATGGTTTAGAAGTTTACCCGTAGAGTTTGTGACAAGCAGTTCATAACATTGACCAGGCTTCACATTTACAAGCTCAACAGGTTCGGTATCTTCGTCGCTGCTCTTCGTTTCTACAGATTCAACCAGATTTGGAGAATTCGCAACACATTCTTCCTTTATCGGAACAAATTCGAAGTAAACCGAATTAGGAAGAAATGTGTAAGAGACATCCAAAGGTTTACTTCGAGGTTCTAAGTTGATCCCAACAGCACCTTCCGAGCAACCATAAAAACCTGACACTAAAGGTAGACCTCCACAATAGAACTCAAGTTCTGCAGTATATTGCATCATTGCGCCTGTACATATGGTACCAATGTACTTTGTTTTAGGCCATAGCTTTCTGATTATTCCCTCCCATGATTTCATACATATATTTTCTATCAAGTCAGCCAACTCTGAATTAGCCTTCAAGATCGACGATGCTGCGTTTTTGCACCCCGAGTCAGTGATCCAATCACTTATTCGACCAGTTCTTATATTTGAGCACAGCTCTTGCCAGTTATTTTCTAAAAACTTGAAACCTCTTAGCACACCAGATGCAAAGACTGAGCCAATCATGACAACCTCATCACGTTGTATTAGACCGAAAAGTATTTGACAGTACATGCTCTGCTTGGCGTCCGGGCAAACGATAGTCTCGAAAGGGCTCGTGTAAAGCTTCGGCAAAATGGCTCGAAAGCCACTCCTCTTGAAAAATCTTGACGAGACTGCAGTTGCCTTGAGGCCAGAAGGAGTTTCAACATCTGGTTTGACAAACATAAGCTCCATTCGTTTACCGGCTTGGTTTATGTCCCCAAAGTGCCTGTAAATAAATTAGCCAGGACTCAATATGGTCACCAACATAACATAAAGTGGGCACCTATGTTACTCATACTCAAGTGCGAGTTCGATAGTCATTTTTTAAATTTTACCATGTATTTCAAGAGCCTTTCAAGAGTTATATCTCTATATCCGTATCCAAATACGGGGCATGAATACTTCAAGAAAAATGAATAATTAAAACAACATAATTCTACCATGATTAAAACCTATAATTATCAGTATGCATTCTAACAAACAATATCTTAGGCCTAAAACCAAAGATAACAAGACCACCATTGCTTAGAACCCCAAAACTTACAAATAATCATATAACCAAATGTAGAAACTAAATAATCTGCTGTTTTTATCCTTTTCCTTTAGAAAAATGGGAAAAAATCACCAATATTTCAAGTCAACAACATAACATATATAGGGCACTTATGTTACTCATACTATGAGTTCGATAAAATTTTACTATGTATTTCGAGAGTCTTTCGAGAGTTATAACTCTACATCTGTATCCAAATACGAGACATGATTACATGAATACTTCATGGAAAATGAATAATTAGAGCAGCATAATTGCTCTTAAAAAGTGATATCCCTTGAAGTTTTAATTTATCTTACTATAATTTAGAAATTTTCTTTGAATACTATATAATTTGTTTCCATCTAGGCTAAAATTTTATAAATTCGTCACTAACATAAAATCATGCATCCTTCCGTGAACATCCTATACTAACACCCAAAGCCATAGATTGCTAATTCTCTTCTTCAGGTCATTAATCAATTGGTAAACAATCTATCAGTTTATAAATCAAACTATAAAACTTCAATAAAAGGGGATGGGGTTGCGTACTTTATCATCACAGACCGAAAAATGTTATTATACATTGTGTGTGTGTTAGTAGTTTCATCGATGACAGGTATCAGCTTCGGCTGCCCACCTGAAGTCCCACTACTGCATTTAATCAAACAGATAATAAACTCATAAAAAAAATAAAAAAACAGAATGGAAAACACACCGAAAAGGCGAAAACAAAGAAACACATGCCTGAGAGAGAACCCAGTGAGGGGTTCAGCTAAAAGAATATCTGAAGACGCCTCCCCATTGGCGATTCGATCAATATAAGGCTTGAGATCTTCGTAAGCAACAACGGGTACATTCTTTCTGAAGAGTCGCTTGTCGTTTTGGCCATGGAGGAATCGGCTTAAATACTCCGTTCCGGCGTTTTTAGTAAGGATTTCACCCAACAACTGGTCCTGGATTTGCCGGGCATTTGTGGTCAATTCTTCCAGCATCTTCAACCCGGATTCATAGTCATTTGTTGCCATCAATCAAACCTAAAACTGATTTCTGCTCCGAAAACGACAAGATCTTGGAAGCTCTTGCTGATGATCTTTATTTCTGTTTACCGATCGCCATTTCCATCTGTGTCGCCCTTAAAAAGATCATCATCAACGAGATTTTCTTCTAATTTAGCACCAAAAAAGATTTACTATATTTACAAAAATGTTTGACGCGTATTTGTGTAGTTACTTAAATAATACTTCTTTGACCAGCTGAGTATGACATTTACTCAACAGTAAATAAATATTATTTTGAAATAAGATAATCATTAAACTTATAAAATTATAAAATTTTATTAAATTAATACAAGATGGTCATTGAACTTATAAAATTATTATTAATTAATTTTTAAATTTATTAATTTTTATCGTTATTTTATAATATATATAACAATTATTTATGCTTTTTAAAAATTTAATAATAAAATTTTTTTCTCAACGTTAGTCAATAATCATTTAAATGTTTCATATTAAAATTATAAGTCGGTCAAATGTGTAGAGCAGTCTACAATTTGGATTTATCGTTAAACGGTTAAAGCGACAAGATTTTTCACACTGTTTTATATGACTGTTCTTTAATCTGGACGGTACTATTGTCTTTTCAAAGTATATGAATATAATTCTATTATTAATGACATTTATATTTATATTTATATTTGTGTTAATATTTTTATTATAATTTTATTAATATATTGAACCATCTCGAACGCGTTGAGAACTTGTTGCGTCTCATTCTTGAACATGTCCTCCATGGACTTGATTTTTTTAAGACGGGACTCCACAACACACTGAATCTCCTTGGCTTCCTCCATGGATTCGTCAAGTCTATCAACCCTCCTTCCTAATGTTGTTGACACCTCCCTCGTTGTCTCTAACTCATTGAGAACACGTTGCATATCGTCTTTGGGTCTGTGCTCCATAGATTCCACTTTCTCAATATGGGACTTCACAATACCCCGGATCTTCTTAGCCTTCTTCATGGATGCTTCAAGTCTACCGACCCTCCTCTCCAACGATGTTGAGACATCTATCCTTAGAGCCAGCACTTCGGCCTTAACGGAATCACACTCTTGGATCTTCTTCTCACCCAACTTCTCAAGAAGCCTTCTTCTTTGATCGAGTTGTTGGACTCTTCCAACCTGATGATCTTCTTTGTGTGTGAAGCGATAGCCTCTATAAGATACTCATGTACCTTATCCATCTTTATTGCCTCCTCCTGTTCACCATCAAGACTCACATCGTCTTCATGTGTGAAAGCAATATTTCCTTGTTCTGTCATCTCAATCATCCGATTTAAAACTTTCCACGAAACACACTCGGAACGATCATTGTCTCGCCACAACGACTCGTTTTGATACCACTTGTCACGCCTCTCAAGACTCCAACTCGAAAATATGTGCTTGTCACGTCCTTAAACCTCCAAAACGTGTTTTTTAGTAATTGTATTAATGTATATTGAATATATGTATTGCACATATTTTTTTAGGGTAAATTACACAAGTGGCTCACTAATATTTGAGTTCGTTTTTTTTTTCTATCAAAGTTTCAAAAGTAACAAATTGGTTTATTAACGTTATGGATTTATAACAAATTGGTCACTCATCAGTACCAATTGTTATTGTAGTAACAAAATATTGATGCGACACGTTAAATCAACAGACTTGACACGTTTGACCATACGAGACATCCTTTGACCAACCATTTTACTTCTTTCATGATAATGTGGTGAAATACATGAAATCTTTCATGATTGAGCTATTATGCAGCTAAAAACTCCATAATAAAACTTTATAAAGACCTGAAACCTCTTTAATTTAATAACATAGAATATTTATTTGTTTCAGCGAAGGGCAAATGATTAAACACAAATAAGATTATAAGCAATCTGGCAATGCCAATGATATATACTGGTACTAGATTTTAATAGAAAATTTTAAAGGGAAAATACAATGAAAGGAAACCATATTAGTAACTCCTATAGTCCATGGATAGCATACATTTAGATCAAGATTTTGGATTCAACTCTATAATCTCAAACAAAGACCATAAACATTTAAGTAACTGCACAATTATTCCATTAAGCCATTGCATTTAAAGGCATGTATCCTTGAAACAATCAACCTCGTCGTCACTCTGTTCCTTATCTGCCTCACCACCGCTCCGTACTATTCATCCTCCTCTTGTAACACCCTCAACCCGTATCCAACCCGGATACAAGTCTGAGGTGTCACATTGACTTTTCAAACTTTTAACTTTTAACGAAAACCAATGAAATTTAAAACTTTTATTAAAATAACATTGTCATTGTACACGAGTTAACCAAAACAAGACAAAACTAATCAGAGCATTTGTAACTAACACTTTTCTTACATGCCAACACACTACATACAACAAAATACCTACTATGATTTTCCTTCTGATCTGATCGCTGAGTGGAGATATGTTGATCTGCAAATTCCTATTCTTTATTCTCCTGCTCTTCGAAACCTACGTGTAAAAATACTTACACACTAAGTCATAGACTTAGTGAGGCATAATTACATAATAAAGAATTACTAAAAATATAAACATGTCGTCTACTATCCAAACGCAATTATACTATCATACCATCATTTATTATACCACATATGAGACAATATAAATCATAATAATACCATATTAAGATACAATTATATACATCCTCGTTATGTCCTATTTAAGCCCATATACACTATTGAGAACCCAAGGTATACGAGTATTATGAGGTTGTACACACGTGTGCTGTCACCACAGCTCAATGAATGTTCCAAATGACCTATCCAGAGGTCATAAAGATCCTCGGTAACTATCCAGAGGTCATAAAGATCCTCGATAACTGTCCATAGGTCCCGAAGAACCTAGGTAAACTATCCATATGTTCCTTAGAACATAGGTATACTGTCCATATGTCTCGAAAGACATAGGTAGTTCTTTGACTCTTGGCATGCCAACTATACCTACAGTTCTCATAACTCATATCATGGGTATTGTCTTTTACCTTATTACATATTCACACATTATATCACATTTTTCTTTTCCTATAGCTCTTTATCACATGTTCATATGATCATCTTATCACCTATATCTTTTCATATAACCATTACATACATACATACATGTCATCATTTATGTTTTTATCATACTCCTATAGTATTATCCTTCATCTCTTTTATCTCTTGTTCATTTTTCATCCAATAACTTATATAAATGTATATATATCACGTATACTAGTTCCTAGGTCCCATCACACTAGCATATTTTCATATATTTGTAATCACGTAGTTTATTTTTCATATAATTCATGTCACCCCTCATATGATTTCATATTCATATGCTATATATTTCATATTCTTTCTTATGTCCTTTCCATACTTCTTATTTCATATTCTTATGAAATCATATTGATCATTTTAACTATTTAACACATTTATCTACTTATTTACACAACTCATATAATATATATATATATTGTAACATGTCAATACATATGCTCATTCATACATATAAACCATAAAAACACATCACACACACTTCATATACCTAATATAGATATCTCGTAACTCATTCAATCCCATATGACACATACATTCATATATAAGCTCTAATCTAGAAAATAAACTTACCACAATCTGCATAGTATATCCCATATGATATAATTCTGATTCTAACCCTTCATATCCTTTAATCAAGTTCGGGACAAGTCAAATTCAACTTCCAATTCTCAATATAAACTTTATTTCGATATTTCATTCAAAAACTCCAAATCTTTAAATCCTCATAAACTCTTCATCTTGTTGTTTTAAAGTAAATTAATCTTTCCTTAATCTTACTTAGCATCAAATAATCAAAACTAAACTTAAATTTCAGCACATAATCAGCTCAAGAGAAAACTCACCTTTGCTTGGCTTCACACGTGAAGAAGAAGAAGAAAAAAGAAGAGAACTCTGGAAACCTCTAAACTTTGTTTCCTTCCTTCCACGTGTATCTATATATACCATATATTATTATTATATTTTTCTTTTCTTTGCAAATGACCATATTATCCTTTCATTCCTCATTCTTTTCAATTTGATCTTACACCTCATTTCTCATATAAGTCTTTAAACCACTCAATTATTCTAATTTAAATCACCAAATTTTGAAACCTTACAATTTAGTCACTAACCCGGTATTGAGGATGTTACAAATCTCCCCTCATTTTAAGAAAAATTGTCCTCGAATTTTCATTACACATACCGATAAGAACATATCTTTCAATGTTCTCATGCTCCTTTCTCTACTTTATCCCATTGCAATTTGTAATCAATGATTTGCTTTCACTTCCCAAAGAACCCAATCCATTTCTAATTACCTTATAACCATACCCAATCTCTTATTCCATCATTTTATAACTCAGAACACAACCCTAAACCTCTTCAAATATTATTAAACGTATACTTTACGAAATCAATCAATCTTTTCATAACACTATCTACCATTTCCTTACCTCATATCAACTTATAATTCACACTTTACACCCCTTTTTCATTTAATTCCCTATATATATACTCATTTATAAATTACTATCTCCTTACTTATCCCTTGAGGAATATCTCCATTAGATTAACAGAGAATTAAATTAACTGAATTTGAATGTAACACTTCTAACATATCTTGTTTACTTTAGCATTGTACCTTAATGGAATTGTCACTACACTATTTCTAAAAAATGACTTCTAACTAAATTCTTAATTCTCTTACCCATTCTCTACTCATATATGGTTATACAAGCTCAGATCAACTAATATCATAAAGCATTTACTGTACAATAGAAGATACCTGTTATTATCTTTGGATCCTCATTGTCTTCACTGATATTAAGATTATATACTCTAGCCGTAGAGCGTATTTCCTGTTGAGTAGAAAATTATGTCTGACTTCTTCCTCTACCTCTACCCCATCCTCTCTGGGATATCGAAGTAGATCGCTCCGACTGCACAGGCTTTCCTGTCCCCAATGGACAATCTCTCATGAAATGTCCTATTTCCCCACATCGGAAATAGGCTCCAGATTCAACTCTACATGCCCCACCATGATATCTCTCACATATCTGACAGTGTCTCTGTTATGCTCTTCCATCACCAGACT